CCCCGCTCTATCTCCCCCCCTATCTCTCTCTCTGCTCCATGCGCGTGCGCTCAATCCGTGGGCGTGATGACGTCAGTGCGGCGCACGGACCGGGCTCGATGCGGGTGACGTCACCACACGACCCCAGGCGACACGCAGGCAGACAGGAATCCAACCAGAAAAAAAACATTTTCTAATATAATATGAATTGTGAATGGCCATTGTGTGTGTGTTCTTGTAACCGTTAACATTGCTCAAGCTTACTTACCAATGATAAAACTTTGTTATCACAAGAACAAAAATCTGCTGATGCCAAACGTATGATTGACAGAATGATGGCGACGGGGTAAGCGTCAGGGCCATTGGTGGCATTGCACAACAGGCGAACACAACACAACAGGCGAACACAACACAACAGGCGAACACAACACAACAGGCGAACACAACACAACAGACGAACACAACACAACAAACACACACAACAGGCACACACAACACAACAGGCACACACAACACAACAGGCACACACAACACAACAGACGAACACAACACAACAAGCACACACAACAGGCACACACAACACAACAGGCGAACACAACACAACAGGCACACAAAACACAACAGGCACACACAACAGGCGAACACAACACAACAGGCACACACAACACAACAGGCGAACACAACACAACAGGCGAACACAACACAACAGGCGAACACAACACAACAGACGAACACAACACAACAAACACACACAACAGGCACACACAACACAACAGGCACACACAACACAACAGGCGAACACAACACAACAAGCACACACAACACAACAGGCACACACAACACAACAGGCACACACAACAGGCGCACACAACACAACAGGCGAACACAACACAACAGGCGAACACAACACAACAGGCACACACAACAGGCGAACACAACACAACAGGCGAACACAACACAACAGTTTCAGTTTTCAGTTTCAGTATATTTATTTTGGTATAGCCCTGTGAGTCGTTCAGCTCTTGAATCGGGTGCAACCACAACAAACAAACAAACAAAAACACGAACAAGAAAACATCTTAAAGTGACTATGTGACTGTGCAAACAGAAAATCCATGAGAAAAAAAACAGCAAAAATATTCCTGAAAAAAGCACCGTACACCAACGCTGTGTGCAAAAAATCCCAGTGGGATGCAAGTCAAACAACAACAACCACAAGAAAACTTAGATTAAGGATATCAGTCTAACTCCGTACTACAACAAAACAAACATGTCCAAACCAAAAAACTTTTCGAAATCACCAAAAAATAAAGCCATAATTGCAACGTAACAGTGATCATAGGGACTGTGACCGAATTTTTACAATAAACTACATAAATAACATGTAACACCAAATCCTAGAGCCATAGCTGGCTGCATGAGTTACTCCACAACAACAGAAGCATCAGTCGGAGTATAAAATTTTTCAATGCACCTTTAAGATCAGCACGCTAAATCAAAATACAGATAATACTTTGCAGCGTCATCCGGAGCGAAACATTTTATTTTATTTTACGCCAATGAATAGCAGTGGCAGCTAGGGGTGTACAACTCCTCTAGAGCAGTTTTGAGAGAAGATCTCATTGGTAGCGATTCAAGTTGCAGTTTATTGGCAATAGCATTCCAGACCCTGGGGACATCAATAGCAAAGGCCCTTCCTCCAGTTTTTGTACGGCAATAGGGAATGTGAAGCTGGTAAATGAGCGAAGCCCTGAGGTCAAATTTGTTCTTTGAAACAGAGAGATCCAGTAGGTAGTCTGCGGATTTTTTTGTAAGTACATCGTGAATAAATAAGATCTGGTGCACAAGCCGTCGAACATTAAGAGATGTTAAGTTTGACCCAATGTAGAGATTACAGTGGTGAGTCCTATATGGGCAGTTCAATGTAAATATTAAGGCCGAGTGATAGATGAAATCAAGCTTCTTCAGTACACTACTTGGGGCTGATTTATACACGATGTCACAGTAATCAAGTGGAGGCAGTATGGTAGCTTTTATCAATTCCAAACGGAACATTGGGGGGAAGCAGTGCTTGTGTCGATACAGAAAACCAATTTTTATTTTTGTCTTTTTACCAATATAATCAATGTGATCTTCAAAATTCAGTTTTGAATCCAGGATGACCCCAAGATACTTATAGATCTTGACTTGCTCTATTTGATAATTATTTAAGGAATGTAATTGGGGAAAAATAACGTCCTGCTTTAGTCCTGGTGAGAAGCATAGCACCTTGGTTTTGGAGTTATTCAGGACTAGTTTAAGAGCAACTAGCTGATGTTGTAGTTTGTTGAAATCACCCTGTAACAGGTGAACACAACACAACAGGGGACCACAACACAACAGATGCAGGCTCCAGCCTCCCAGAGGGCCGAATGTAGACACGGCACTGCATTGATTCGCGGTTTTTTTTGTGACTTTCAGCTGCCAATGTGAACAGATCTTTGGTTTATTAGCACTCATTATGGTAAGTAGGATGATGCATTGTATTGGATAATTAAAACACATTAGCCACAAGTGTCATAAATGAAGCTTTGAAATGACAAATTAACACAAAGAGAATAATTTTTGCTGTTTTTTATTTGCTTCCTTTTTAATGGATTTCATGAATGGAATTTATAATTGCAACTCTATGAGTGGCTATTAAATTGATGGACCGTTTTTTTGCATTACCAGCATCTCATACTATGATGAGAACAGGTGTCTCGTAGCACAGAAGAGGATCCCGCACATAGTCAAATCAAGGAGAGGGTCTGCATGTCTCCCTGTTCTCCTGTACTGTTCTGTGAGCCGCATAATCGAAAAGCTAAATGATAACATTTTGGTCAGTGTGCTCTAATGCAAATACACCAGTCCCTTGCCATGCCACGTTTGTCCCGTCCGCGCTGTTTATGTATCCACTCCATCCCGCACGCGAACCGCGGTCTCGCACGGCGATCCGTGTCGCCTCCCTCCGTGCGACGACTTCCAGCTGCCGCCACCGCTCTCTTACCACCACCACCACCAGCACCACCACCACCAGCACCACCAGCACCACTACCAGCACCACCACCACCAGCACCAGCACCACCAGCACCACCAGCACCACCACCAGCACCACCACCAGCACCACCACCACCAGCACCACCAGTACCACCAGCACCAGCACCACCACCAGCACCACCAGCACGAGGAGGGGGAGGCAGTGGAGTGGGCAGAGCCCCTCCTCCTCATCATCACCATCGACGTTCACGCTCAGTATTAGAGGTAAATAAGATTATTTCATTGTTTTTTATTTTGTTACCTGAACATGTATAGTTTTTTTAATGTTGTGTATTTTATTTGTGTTTAGTGTCGGGACAGGCAACCTGGTTAGGCTTTGATGAGGCTGCCCTAGCCCCCTGTTTTATATATTTTATTATTTTATTGTTTCCCTTCAACGTGACTTTACCGAAAGAGCTAAGAATATGAATTACTGCAGTCACGAAAGCTTTAAATCAAAATTCATTAAGCTTCTCGATACTTTGACTGAAACGTCGGACATCATGCTGAACAACACGCAGTGCAACCCAAAAAAACACATCAGAGAGCTATCTTACAATTATTTGTATTGCATTCATATCACTTGGCATATGGGTAATGCAATACTGTTATGTGGTAATATCTGACGGGCAGTGCCACTGACAACGCTATTGAGATAGGGCCTTCAGCCAACAGGGGCGGTGTTGATTTAATGGTGCGTGTCATTCAAAAGCCCAGACAGCACCCTCTGCTGCCTACATGAGTACATTTAAGCAAATGTGTACTTCCAAGCTGTACCATCGCAGAGTTTTGTCGCACACACGAATTACGAGTGGATTTACGGCACCAGAAACTATACGTTGGCGAGTCGAGGTGTAAAGATTTACGCCCATCAAACGCAACAATCTGATACAAACAAATTCCCGAGTCATTTCAATTAAATAATAAGATTATCGATTTGAAGCTTTCGTGACTGCAAGGATTCATACTCTTTGGTTTTATTCGGTAAAGTCACGTAGATAAAAAGATTCTCGTTTTGTGCTGGGGTTTACTCCGTCGTTTGTAGAGTCTGTCTAGTATGCTGCGAGCTCATTCTTGTTCTGTTGGTATGAAGGAAGATAAAAGCCTATTATCGTCAAAAGATCTAATCAATCCTCGGAAGCGGGGAGAACTACATTCTTATGCATCGTCTTGAGTGGGGTATTATTACATATCTGGCAAAAAAAAACGATACCTTCATCCTGAGAAGACGTATCAATTTCTTAAGACCGCTACTTCAACAATAGAAGGATCCTGGAAAAACCAGGATAGGTGACAACCCGAGTAAGAGTCACGGTTAAGAGATGAAGCAATAGAAACAACACGTTCACTGGGTGATGGTCTGAATTCGATGTTGCTAACTAAAAACTATTTTTTTTATTTTACCAGGTAAGGCCCACTGAGCTATATAGCTCTTTTTCAGAAGCGACCTGGCCACAAATGTTAGCTCAATTAAGTAATAATTAACATTTATTTGTTAGCCACCTTCCACTAATGTCTCAAGGCCCCTTGTAAGAATAAGGATAGACCAAAAGAGAGAATCTCAATAGAATAAACTGACTTAAGAAGATGTGGTTTCAAGACGAGACTTAGAAATGTCCACATTGTCGGATAAACACATTTACAACGGTCGGGAATTCCACAACCGTGGCGCAGACACAGAAAATTCCCGCTCACCCCAGGAAGTGGCTTACCAGAGGACATGTATCGCAGCCAACTACTCCAAAACGCATGTTGATTCTAAATGTGGAGGGGAAAACGGAGGTCATGGAGAAAAATCCACGCGACCACGGGGAAAACTCTAAATAGACAAGCGCTTCAGGGTCGGGACGGAACCTACGACCTCCTGTCTACCTGGTGAAGTAGTTAACGTCACCTCGCCATCGTGGCGCCAACTGTTGCCCGTCCTGCGAGTGGACTTGAACCTTGACGGGCCGGGCTCTCAGCTGGCACGGAGCTGCTGGAGATGTGCGAGCGGTGTCTGGAGAGGCAGGCGAGCGTGCTGTCGGAGAGCAACGTGTACCTGCTCCACATGGCCTACCAGGCCATGGGCGTCTGTCTCTTCGTCGAGCAGTGGGAGAGGGCACTGGACTACGGCCTGCAGGTCATCAAGCAGTACTGGTGAGCTACGGAGAGACGCATATTCTATCTCGGGACAATTCACTTATGTTAGCAGGGGTACAACCACACTTTGGATTATTCGTTTCTTTGGATTATTCGTTTCTTTAGAACTGCTTTTGCGTCTAGTTCGTTCCCCGCACCTACCATTAGCACGGTTGGCTACGTACGGTGAGAAAGAAGTTCAACATGCATAGATACAAAATAATTTGAACATACAATAAAAATGCCAACACACACACACACACACTCCGTCGGCCGTCTTGAGACACCTGCTGTAATCGCTGTCTGACCTCCAGGAAAGCGACCATGCGTTTGGTAAGCTGGCAGTGTCTTACTTGCAAATGCGTCCAACAGTTACCGGCTAAATTACAGACACACGGTGACTGGTTATTTCCGAATGATATTAACTGCTGTTGCCATGCTATATGTAATACCTTATTTAACATGTTTCACTTTGAGAAACAACATTTCGTCGGTGCTTTTCAGCCATATAAATGTGGGTGTGCCCGCACTCCAATGATACCCAGCGGCTATGGCTCTGTACATCACAGAGCTTGAAGACTGTTGTGCATTGCCTAGAAAGAATGTCTTTCCCAGGTGCCTTTCGACATAGGGTGGTCATAATTAAACTATTGTCAAACATCTTTTAGGTTTCTGTGAAAATAGGGCCGCTGTAGGTATTGCTATTTCCATGGGTTGCACAATGTTAACATTTGAAGTGAAAGGTGACTGGTGGCGGGTAAAGGTGTGTGGAATGCGAGGCGGGTGAATGACGTTGGCGGGAGTGGTGCGTAGCTCGAGTTTTAAAGAGGTTACACGTGAGTCGCACAATTAACAAATAACCCATGTAAAATTGCCACCCAAATCCCATTCCCAACTGTTTAAACCAGTTTTCATTTTGCCATTTGTTACTTACTACTCTGCGTTTTCGTGCATTACCAAGTTGCGCAAATTCTCAATCGATAATCAATCTCGAGTCACCCCAGTCCAGTCATCACCTTCATTATGCCGCTAAGGATGATGTTCCTCTCTTACCACTCTCCACAGTAAACTGTACCCACGTCTCTCACTGAACGTGGCCTCGTTATGGCTCAAGATTGGCCAACTTCAGACCAACCTGGATCACACAAGTGCAGCGACCAAGTCCTTCAGCAAGGCAAGGTTACCACATGCAGACATCATTCGCGACAATGTGAAAAACATTTTAAAGGTGCAGCTCTGCAATTGCTTGCTCACACCACTGCTGGTGAAATGGTCTCCACTAAAGATAACTCGTAGAGTCTCTCTCTCTCGAAGATAATTGGGCAAATCTTTCACACTCGCCAGACATTCTGGAAATGGTGGGAGTACCCACACGATACAATGAGCCCGCTCACTTTGAAATGTTTACAACTATGTTGGTTTTAAAGATATATGGCTTGGATGAAACTTTATATTGGTCCTATCGCTCTTGTGCGAACTATTGCACACATTTCCTTAATCGATGGATCTAATCCACAGATAGATTCAGTTTAGACGGATGTTCATGCAAGCTCACAAAGGCCTTTATGGAAAGTATCATGACATTTTTAACAGCACGTATGAAGGCAGAGCAGCTAGTGATGTCATAATCTATAATTGGTGTGGTTATATTTGTAAAAAAAACACATGCACAAATTTGGTCATGCATTTTCTACATTATAAAGATAGTTTGAAATGTGAAAATAACATTATTCTGAGAATAGGTTTCCCCCTTTTTCTGGCAACAAAACAGGTGTTAAGGTTTTGATTTAAAGCTTTCGTGACTGCAGTAATTCATATTCTTAGTTTTTTCGGTAAAGTCACGTTGAAGAGAAACAACAACGTGACTTTACCGAAAAAACTAAGAATAGGTGTTAAGGTGTTTTAACATCTTGGATGTACTGGCAAAGGAGGGCCCATGATGTCACATTATTCTCTTGGTCCACTGAGTAACGATGTGCAACTGCATGCCCTTAATGTACATAAAGCGATTGAACATATTATTTTATTCTTTCGGTCAAGTCACGTATATAGAAAAAAAGAAAGTGAAACAAATAATTAAAAAAACTGTCGACTGTAGCCTGGTTCTTAATAGGAGTGTACTGGCAATCTATAAATTAGACTGCAGCCTGGTTATTAAGATAGGTAAGTGTACTGGCAGTCTATAATGTAGACTGCAGCAATGGTTATTAAGCTGGGTGAGTGTACTGGCAGTCTATAATGTAGACTGTAGCAATGGTTATTAAGCTGGGTGAGTGTACTGGCAGTCTATAATGTAGACTGTAGCCTTTGACCATGACAATGAATGTCACAAAGTTGGACAGTTGGGGGTATGACAGAGGGCCGAGTCTGAAAACTGCTGTTAAAAACGATTGTGTCCTGTGCATATACTGTTTATCACAGGCTCTGGCGATAATGGAAGTCACCCATGGCAAAGATCATCCATATATCGAGGAGCTAAGAACAGCCGTGAAATCCAGAGCTGGGAAGATTTGACGACCTTTCACATGGTGCCTCTCGAAAGCTGGAAACCCCCAACAAGCCACGCCCAGCGAGACGCGGCTGACGATGACATCACCAGTGGATGCCAATCATCTCCCATGCAGCAACACGCGAGAACAGTTTGTAACCCCCCCCCCCCAAACTATTTCGGAGCTATTCGAGGAATCTAATAATTAAAATTCATCAAACAAATATACGGTAATACAATAAATGACTGAAACCGATATCCCAAGCTCTATTATTAATCCTAAGATAATCGCATAACATGACAGTTGCATGTATAGTTTCCTCATGGTATTTTGATGTGTAAGTGATTGAGTCATGCTTGGCAAATGGAAGGTAATGGACTAATCGCACCTCCGATTAGCACGGTTGGCTCCACACGCTGCAAGATAAGTTCGACGTACCTACCATTAATCGAATTAAACTCCATTAAATTTCGATTTAAAGCTTTCGTGACTGCAATGATTCATCTTCTTTGGTTCTTTCGGTAAAGTCACGTAGAATGAGAATAAAATAATAAATTGATCAAATAAAATAACACAATATTCTCACGAGACTGTCTCGTCCCTTTACCTGATGAAGGCCGCTTGTGTTGTGGCCGAAACGTCGTGAGAATATTATTGTGTTATTTTATTTTATCAATTTATTATTTTATTCTCATTCTACGTGACTTTACCGAAAGAACCAAAGAAGATTAAACTCCATTGTTTTGAACTGGGTGTTTAATCGAAGCATTTCCATGCTCCTTCCAATTGAGGTCCTGCTGTGGGAAGCATTCATCTCACGGTGCATTCCTTGTTCTTTTAAAAACACAGACATGTCCAATGTGCAACTTTCATATTTCATCAGAGTGGATTTATACAGAACAAAGTGTATGGGTGCATCGAGTTTGAGATTGCCCACAGGAAAACAAATGTTTTGCTCATATCACCGACTCGTCAAAGGATAGTTTGTGGATTAAATTCTTGCCAGCTCGTCGAATAAACATTGATATTAAAAAAGGTCAGATGACTGCAGTTTTTTCTTCTCCAATTCCTAACAAGTTACACACGGACGTTTATTGTTCATAATTTTATTTCGATTTAAAGCTTTCGTGACTGCAGGGATTCTTCTTCTGGGTTCTTTCGGTAAAGTCACGTAGAATGGGAATAAAATAATAAAAATAATAACAGAATAAAATTCTCACGACGTTTCGACTGTCCGGAAGACAGCGCTGTCTTCCGGACAGTCCTGTTTCTTCACCTGAGGAAGGCTACTTGTGTTGTGGCCGAAACGTCGTGAGAATTTAATTATTATTTTAATCCCATTCTACGCGACTTTACCGAAAGAACCCATAAGGTTCATAATTTTATTCATAAGTTATGTACTTATTTAGGAAGGAGACACCGAGTCGCAAGGGGGCAACACCATCCCTGTACAGATGGAAACAGCTGGCGATCGGTACACTTGCTTTACTGCCTTCTCCTGGCGAGCAAGCGTTAGGCACCTCGTCGCCCACGGGAAGGGAGTTTCACAACATTTGTGCGATCCAACCCTCGCTGCCTGCACCGCGCTGGATTAGAGGCGTGCGTATACAAGTCCATGTCAGGCAAAACTGATGACAGAAAGTTTAGAAAATTCCGCTTATGCTGTCAAACAAAATTAAAAGGCACAATCAAGCCATTCCACGGACGTAAGAAAGGAGGCACACATTCTTGATGAATAGTGTTTTTTTTGCAAGATGGTTAAGCTCCAAATTTAAAAACATATCATTGTACGCATAGGGAGATAACAACCAATAACAAATGCAGTAAATAAGTTATATTACAACGAAAGCAATACTCATAACACAACATGATCATGTGTAAGTGCCGTAGCTTGAATGGTAGATGCTATATCACAGCATGGCCTAAAAATAAATGTCCATGCACAAAAAATACATTTTATTCAACAGAAACACGTGTGGGCTATAATGAATAAAGATGCTGGCCTTCGATGAGGATGATTTGCAACACACCCTTTACAGTACTGATTATAAATATGTACATATGTCATAATGCGTCCCTTGAGATAGGGTGTTTTATAATTTTTCACGTCAACCCTCTTCCAATAAAGTTATCCCTTGCAACCCCTGCGCAAACTGAAATTAAGATGTTGGCAATCGTTTTTCTCTCCGAGTACAGGACACCGATACATTGAGCATTTGGACAGTGCTCATCGATACTACCCAGTTAACAGGAGACGCATAGTTGCTGTTAAAAGCGAGTTCATCTCGTCAATCATGTCTTGTAATTTACACATTTCAAATGTACCATATGGCCTATTGTCTGTACCAGTATTGTGTGTACCTGTTTTTGATCATTCCATTTTGTGTAGCGGGGAAGGCAGGCTATGACCAAAGCAAACATGAGTGACACAAACGCGTCTGAGTACGTCCAAACATGATGAAGGAATGTGCATAAAGCAACAATATACCATTTGAAGACACACGGTCAAGTTCAAAGGTAGCAGGAGTCATTCCCAGACTCTGTTTAGACCCAGAAAATGAACACTTCATATTTAATTGTTTTAAATTCAACACCAAACCTGCCCACGTTATTCACAATATGCTGGATTATTCGATACACTTGAATTACATTGATTGGCTTCACTGGACGTGAAAGCTTTAAAAATCGAGCCAAGGACCACTTCACTGGGTTTACATGGTACAACAATGAGTGGCAGCATTTGTAAACTACCTTATGGCACAACAATTAGCTATGAGCGGTATTGTTGTGCTCTCTGAATATATATGCTCCAAATTAATTTTCATTATGCGCTGACCACTTATCCATTTCCACAACATTTGGATGTTAGAACACCATCCAAAATCAGATGTACATTTTGTAGACCATCTAATTTGACATTCACGTTTGAAGAAGCCACCTTAAACCTGCTATTGCACTTCCCGCCACTTCGTGTAAGGCCCGTGGCATGCCCTCTGAAATGTCCTTAATTTGAAAAACTTAAACGGGCAACACATCAACACATTGGAAACACACAACCACGTTCTTGCACAACCTTTTGATGTTGTCTGTGTAAGACAGTTTTTCAATGTTTACCTTGTTCAACCAGTTTAGATTTGCTTTTTACATATATTAGTTCAAACTAAAATCATACACAATCATTAATGTTCACTGTTATGAGTAATTATGACTGATCGGGGCTACTTAGTGTCACCTTTATGAAATCGGTTTTCCATGCCAAGCATATTCATCCACTGCTTTATGGCAGGAACATTTTGGAGGTTTTACTCAAAGCACACAGGTCTTTTACATTAACCTAAACACGTACATTGTGTTTGTTTACTTGTTATACAGCATGGCGTGACACAAATGTATATGGGATAGATGCCCACAACTGCATGAGAAATAAACCGGTTATCCTGCAAAATGTTACGGTTGTCCAGACTGACAACCAGAATTTTAAAAAATATTATATAAACTACATTTATGTATAACCTGCTGGAATAAACATAAAAGGCAAGTACATAAAATGATAATTCTCGTAAAAGTGCACAAAATCTGTTAAAACATAAAACAAAGATGCTATGTACAATATTATTTCCGCTGCTTTTTTGCATTTGCCTAAAATCTTACGCTATGGGAAGAGGAGTGAGGGGTTGGGGAGGGGCAACAGAGGTGAGGTACGACGATAAGAAATATTTTTTAAAGGACAACCATTTCCCAGGTTCCAGATACTCAGGCGCCACTGTCCATTGGACAGGCAATCTGATGTTTTAATCATTCGGTCATAACATTTATTGACATTGAGCAACAGTGTTTTATTTGCCAATACGCACTGTGGGAAAGTAGGCCATGGCCCGTACATAACATTCTGGTGAAGGAAATCTGACAAGGAACTATCTGGACAATGCATTCCATCCAGCCCACAAATTCAGCTTTTCTCATGGTCACTGCACACACATTTCACAACAAATCTTGACTTCCTAAAGCTGACAGTTTCTGATGAATATCCTACACATTTCAGACAATGAATGAAACCTAGACTATATCATGATGAACTGGTGTGAGGAATAACATAAAGCAATATATATGTTGGTCAACATTTTATTTGCTTTTTTAAGTACTGCTGGACAGTGGCTAGAAATGTTTTGACACTAAATATATATCATTATCGGTGAATTAAATTACGAAATATTGTACATTCACCCGAGCTGTGACCAGCCAAAATACTCTTAAAGACATCGAGAATTAATTCGAGTTTGTTAAAATGTGAATTTCATTTGATGTAGATCATGTGCTTGGCTTCATGAAATCGAATCGTTGCAACTTACCCACCAATTTATAGATTTCATCTGCACGCCCATGAGTTATCTGTAACGTAATTTTGCTATAAATATGAATGCTGCAGTAAGAGTGCATCATTACAAGTTTGACAGAATGTGTTATGAGTGCACAAAGTATATTAAACCAACATTATTCAATTCCCGACACATTCTTTTGTCGCATGTTAAATACAGTAAATCCATTGTAAGAAATAAACTGTTGCTTAGCCATTAGCATGTGTTCCTTCTTTTAAGGCAGAGTGCTGAGCACATCCAGTAAGGCAGATCGGTTATGAACAAGGGTTGGCCTTTGTTAGAAAAAAAACAGGGATATTGTACAAGGGATTAAAAAACCGCAGCTAAGAGGAAACTCTGAAAAACTACAGTAACAAAAATACATATACGCTTGGACAGGTAAACAAAGGACTGTACATATCAACAGATGTTAAAAAGGAGCAGAGGGTTTACATTTTATGTACACCAAAGAGTCTGAATGTGGTACACATTCGCACAAAACGACTGTATAAATACTGGGCATTCTTAAGCACATTTACTTGAAGCAGTCAATCCAGGCCAGCTGCATGAGCCGAGTTGAACAATGGTTCACAGTGTTTTGTTTCTTTTATACAACGGGCGACACACTGTTGGCATCACTCAGGTTCTCAATATTCCCCTCTTACCGCCATACTTTCATATTGCTGGAAATATTGTATCCATGATGAGAGCGTTTGCATTTTATGAGTACTTTAAAAATTGCGGCAGCACCATTGACGAGCATGTGGGATCATTTACATGTGAATGTTTTTGGGGCTTCTGGCACAATCTCCAACACGCAGCAGGGCTAAATACGCATTGAAATGGTGGAGTTTTGTTTTAAGTCAGTGTAGTACTCTTCAGTACTAAGCCGTCAGGTTCTTGATCATGCTGTAATCAAGGCGCACACACGAACCAGAGTGGTGTAAAAACATTCAGATGTTTTTTAGCCGAAACCGTGAACACCTTTTCTTTCGAGGCCTTCGTGAAGTGTTGTCTTTCGGAAATTGCACAGGGGGCCGAAAATGGGCCTCATCCGAAGATTTCTGGGCGATCCGTGAGCTCGGCGTCAAACGGTCTCACGGCCGCCGACGTGATGCCTGCCACTGCGTGAACGCCCAACGCGGTGCCTCTGGGTGGCCGTGGCCTTTCACGAAAACTGTTCAATGCACAAACGGAATTCCCATGCCGCACACGGCTTGGACCACCCCTCCGAGACACCGCCCCCCCCCCCTCCCCCATTGGTCGTGCCTGAGAATCGTGGCGATGACTCAGATGAGACGTGAGCTCCTCAGAAATTGGATGAGAGCCTGGTAGACAAACGTGTACTGGGTGATGGTCTGCACCATAAGCATTCTCTGTGTGCGCAGGATGGCCAGCACATCAGGCACGTCCAGCTTCTGTAGACGACACGCCACAGCGCAACACCACCACCACAACCATTAGACTTTTATCTTCGACTTTAGACTTCCAACTAATTGTTGGGTGCAAATGGTTTGATTCCAAGGAGGCCCGTTTAAACCCTCTCTACTTTACAGCTTCACGAAATATACAAATAATTTCAGATACAAATTCTACCAACATGCTGACATGCAGTAGCTTTGCTCATGCAAGTTATAATGCAAAAGCTTTGTCGCTCACAGCTTAACAGATGAGGTACATTCGAAATGGTAAAATACATTCCGCAGTGTTCTACAGAAATATATCAGTGCAGATGAGAAGCAAGCCGAATGAACATTTTCCCTGACATCAATCCCACCAAGCCACACCATTGATGGAGGGTTTATATTTTTTACTTAAAATCGCTGCCAATAAATCGACTGAGCGGATGGCCACCGAGGAGAGGGAGTGATGAAAGATAAAAAATGGAACGCCTCCGATAGAACATTATTCAAGGAGATGGAGAGATTAAATCAGTTTGTGTGTAGGTGTTAAATTGTAGAATCATAAGAGGTGGCATTGTCTTGGGAAGACCTTCATCCAGCATTGGATTGATTGTGGATGATGATGACACACCTATGACCAAATCCACATGTTACTACCAAGATGTTTGAATCCATCGCTCATAATAAAGACGAGATCGTTGCAAACAATGCATCATTCTTAACAAGGCTCACATACCTCATTGTGCTCGAGGCAAGCGATCATCATCTCCGTGAGGATGACGACGCCTGTGCGGCCGACCCCAGCGCTGCAGTGCACCACCACTGGTGGGTTGGCCGGCTTGCTGGCCTCCAGCATGTTGTTCGTGTGCCGGCGCACTGACTTGATCTCCTCCAGGTAGCCTGCCAAAGCCACCAGTGGCACACATCAATGCCATTTGTACACGCAACAGGTCTCAAGGAACAACACAACGCACTCATATTGCAACTTGATTGTACACGCGACAGGTCTCAAGTATGATACCGAAGGGGCAAGAGCATATGGGTTAAATAGCACGATATGGCACAGCAGTTAAAACAACTGCGAGTTTATCATATCCCCTCTGTCCATGCAGCAGTATAAAATGGATACCTCGCGGTCCATCGACAGGCCGTATGGGGGTGGAGTAAAGTGTGGGTACTCCCACCTCTTCCAAGATGTCTGGCAGCATGACAGCATGAAAGGGGAAGCCAGATTATTACCCTCTAGAGTGGCTGTCTATTGGAATGGAACGGAGATTGATAAGCACAAACAGGATGCGAGTTTGTGTGTATGTGGGGAGCAGTAGGTCCGGCAAACAACCCCCTACCTCCTCGTGGTGCCAGACGGCAACGTTGTGGTGGGCAGTGCCGTGGGGGGAGAGCCAATTTAACCCCTCCACCTTCAATTAATTACCACCAAACCACGACTTAAAAATGTAACTAAGCTTGTGCCGGAGGCCCTGGGGGACAGGCGTCTATGACATCTCCTGGCCAAACCCCATTTGACGGAGCCAGGAGACCGAATCCTTACCCTCGGGGCTCCTCCAGAAACAACAAAAAGCCACTACGGATGGCCACGTAGAATGTTTGAACGCTCACTGCAGAGGAGAGGCTGCCACTCCTCTGTCAGGAGCTAGACCGGTGCCGCCTGGATCTCTGTGGTATTCAGGAGGTCCGGAGGACCAGCTCTGGCTCCTGCCACCATGAGGGGTGGACAGTCCTCTACTCGGGTTAGGAGACTGCCAAACAACAGGGAGTGGCTCTTCTTCTGAACAAAAGAATGCAGGGGGCATGGGAGTATGGTGGTGAGGTGTGGGAAGCTGTAAGCCCCAGGCTACTTTGGGCTCGCCTTCCTATCAACCAGAGGCGAGGAGTGGTGGTCTTGGTTACTTATGCCCCCACCAAAGATGAACATCTGTGGAGGGATGCAGGCAAGGCCGATGAGTCAGATGCCGTCTATGACCTCCTGTCACAGGTCCTGGCTAAAGTGGCCCCTTGGGATAGAGTCATCTTGCTGGGTGACTTCAATGCCCGAGTTGGTCATGATGCTAGCACCTGGTCTGGAGTGATTGGAAGACATGGGAGCCAGATCAGCTCAATAGCAACGGTAGGAGGCTGCTCGATTTTTATGCAGCCCATGAGGTTGTAATTACCAACACGCTGTTCCGGCATTGGCGCATCCACACAACATCATGGATGCATACCGGGTCCAACAAAGAACATCTGCTGGACTACATAGTGACGGAACAGCGGATGCGGGCCCATGTCCTTAACACCAGGACCTACTGTGGAGCTGATCTGCCCACTGACCATTGACTTGTCATCTGTAAGATGCGCCTGCCATTCTTCCACTCCGATAGTGGGTGTACACACAGGACCCCATTCAAACCTATAGTGGCATAGACTCAGCTAGCTGATGAAAGTTACAAGCGAGAATTTCATCATCGCTTGCGGCTGGGGTTGGCATCGCCCTCCACTCCCCCTGATGTCGAGGGGAAATGGGCGAGGTTTAGGACTGTGACTCATGCAGCTGCAATGGCTGCTTTGGGCACATGGTCTAGACCTCCTCAGAGACCCTGGCTGACAGAGGAGGTGTTCAGGCTGGCTGAGAAAAAGCGACAGGCCTACTCTCATCGTCTACAGCATCCCACGTCAGAGAATGAGGAGGCTTACGGCTTACCGCAGCCTTCGCTCGTAGGTTAGCAGAGCCGTGAGGCGCTGCAAGGATGGTTAGTGGTCGCGGGTTTCTAAGGAGATGGAGTCTGCCTCAATGGCCCGTGATCACAAATCGCTCTTTAATTCCATCAAAAAAGCAACCTGCAGCGCCACACCTATTTCCATCATTAGGGGAAAGAACAGTGATCCAATCTCCGACCCCCAGGAACAGGTTTGCAGATTTGCTGCGCATTTCTGTGAGGTCCTGGGGGAGGGAAAATCCCTCAGCCTGGAAAACATCGTGGCACAAAGTGAGGATGACCCTGCTAAGGCTGTGGTGCCTAAAATATTGGAAGTCACCCCCTGTGAGTGGCTGGTTGAGGTGCCATCTGTTGAGGAAGTACTAAAGGCGATCCAGAGCCTGAGACCAGGAAAGGCACCGGGCAGAGATGATCTCCCAAGCGAACTACTGAAGGAGGTTGGCGTTTGTGCATAGACTGCCCTACATGACATCATAATAACAGTCTGGACCACTGGATGGGTTCTGTAGGATAAGAAGGATGCCCTGGTGGTCCCCCTCTTTAAGAAAGGGGATCGCACAGAATGTAACAACTACAGGGGCATCTCACTCCGCAGTGTTCCGGGAAAGGTTTTGGCAAGGATTATTCAACATCGCCTTGCCAGGCACGCTGAGGAGAGGCTTGCGGAGCCCCAATGCGGTTTCAGGAAAGGGCGGTCCTGCACAGATGCCATATTTTCTGTCCGTCTGCTACAGCAGAGGTGTAGGGAATTCCAACAAGATCTACATCTCTGCTCTGCTTTATTGACCTGGTCAAGGCCTATGATACCATCATTAAAGACCTTCATGATGGTGAGCGGGCCTGGGCAAAACTACGTGGCCGGGAGTCGGAGCCATTCCCTGTTCACTTTGGGATGCGACAGGGATGTCCCCTGGCTCCCACATTATTTAACATCTATTTCGACCACATAGTTCGTGAAGCCTTCAATAGCTGTACCGGAGGAATGTCCATCTGGTACAGATACAATTGGAGGCGGATCGATGCCCGGATGCGGTCAAGGGATGGCTCCCTATTGCTCAACCATGTTATGTATGCCGATGATCTGGTAATTGCTGCTCACTCAGAGGAGTTGGAGGCGCTGCTGCTGAACTTGGAGCTTGCCACTAAAAGGTGGGGACTTACCATTAGCCCCACCAAAACTAAGTACCTGCCTGAGTAGTTTGTACCATTGGACACTCCACCCCCACAACTCCCAATTGGTGATAGGGCAGTTGTGGAGTGGAGAGTTTCCCATACCTGGGCAGTGTGCTCATGACCGACCGGCTCCGGTTTGATAGCAGAGGTCTCACTCCGAATCAGTCGAGCGGCATTATCTTTTCATCGGTTGCGTAACACTGTGTGGAAGCTACCTGGTCTGTCGCTCTGCATGAAGCTTCAGGTCTTCCTCGGCCACGGTCATTCCCTCCCTTCTCTACGATTGCGAAACGTGGACCCCCCTAATGGAACATCTTCACTGGTTAGAAACATTCAGGCTGGCCTGCCTACGATCCATCTTGTGTTTAACCAGGCTGTAGTGTGCGGAGCACACATATCTTTGAAAGATCTGGACAAAGTCCCATCGGTGAGCTCCGCCGGCATGCAAGGCTGCATTTTCTGGGTCATGTAGCCGGCATGCCCAGCCACCGCATGCCTGAACAGCTTTTGTTCTGCTGGATCGAGGAGGCTAAACGGGTGCGGCACGGGCTAGAAAAGAGATGGAGTGATGTGGTACAGGAGGATGTGGAGCTGAGTGGAATTGCCGATGGCTGTTACCAGCGGTGTCAAGATCGGCCTCTGTGGAGGAGGCTCGTGAAGGACGCTACTGGGCAGCTGGAGGCAGTCGCCCTCCAACAACCAAATAACGGAGGGTGGAGGAGCAACGCTCACAACAACGAGCAGAGCGCCGGGTGACTAAAGCACAGCAAGTTGGCACAGTAGGGGGCACAGGTGGTGCATCAGCCCCGTGGCATTGAGGTCTGCCCCATGACCTCCTGCCAGTGGGCGTTCGACACTTCACGTGGCCTCAGCGTGCACATGGCCTGGCACAAGCGTCGTGGTGATGTCACCGTCACTTAGTGGCGAATGGCGGCTGTTGTTGTTGTGGAGCAGTAGAACAACGGTTAGAGTGTTGCAATGTGAACCCAGCAGCACGAGTTCATTTCACGCTCACGGCCAACACCAGTGATGATCATTTGAATCGGTCCTGGGCCTCCCCAGGTCCTCAAAAGAGGGAGATAGAGGCGGCCGGGTGTAGTACTGGCCACCCACCCCCTCATGTGCCGTTCCAGCCTTCATAGGTGCTCACTAACAGCACTTACCCCAAGTCTGTTAAGGCTATATGGGGGATCTTTGTATTACTTACCTAAGAATCCCTGCACATGGTCTGGGCAACCATGGTCAGGCCAGTCTGTGTACTGCAGGTGCCACACGGTCCTCTCGTGCCCATCCAACAGGTGCTTTAGCTTGAGGCCTGTCGTGGCGTAGCAGCCAAAGTCCGTGCGGAACTTGGTGGTCACTTTAAACTTGCCGTACGTCACCGCACTGTGTCGCGAGCCCAGCTTGGGCCAGTAGCGGTGGCTCTTTGACTTGCCTCCCTCCTGCCGAGCGACAAGACAAATAAAACAACCGTAGAATTACTCTCGATCTACATCAAATGTGGGATGACACACGAGGCTTGTGATGTTGAACACGAAAATTCCATTACCAGTGGCTATCAGGAAATTGCAAGCATGTGTAAGAGAAGAAAATTGTGCATTTAAAACAAATAAACATAATACAATGTAAAAAAAAAATCAGACCATGGTCTCACGTCGACAGAACAATGAAGAGCACTTATCTCTTCAAAGCTTTGGCACGTGAATATAGGTCGACAATCAGATAGACAAAGTGCACACAAATATATAAGGAGTGGTTTAAGATCTATCCTAGTCACGAGCCACCAACAAAAAAGTGTAATTTGTGTAAAACTATTAGCCGACTGGGATGGAGTGGTTGTGACCTGAATTTGATTGCCAGCTCTAATCAACATCAGCGTCGAGTGATATTGGAACCAGTCCTGGGCAACTTCTTTACCAATCCGCACTGACCAGCGTGGTAACGTTTGGTCAAACAACCCCCATGATCAACACGGGACCGGGAGGGGCCTTTATCGATGAGTGCATTGAAAAGGGTAAGTTAAGGAATAAGCCGAGCGATTCGTTACCTCCTCTTGAGTGACCATGGCAATGACATTGACGCCTTCCTCCCACACCATCTGCCAGAAGTCCTGGCAAGTGGATGGCAGTGGTCCTTGTGTTGCAATGTAATGCCACTCCTCCCCACTCACAGTAACCTGTACACACACACAACCATATGTAAGCTTGCAAACTAAAGCTCTAAAACCAAAAACGCGCAGCATTTGAAATATATACGAAACATTGTATTACTTTTCTCAAATGCATTGAATGCAAATTGAGCCACGTGAAAAACATTTAGAAAATTATAAGAGATAGAATCTCCAAAGTGCTTTCGAGTTGTAACAACGTGATATTCGCTTTTGTGGCGTTTCTGAAGAAGCTCTGAGCATGTAGAGAAAAACATCGGACATCATCATGCCGAGCAACAAGCGGTACAGCCCGGACACACTCGAGAGCGATGCAGGAAAACCACAAAAAAAATCTACGCAGCAGTTTGAGAAAAAAAGACAATGCCTCTTATTTGATCGCTGGGATTGTTGGCGCAGGATGTACGTGCCTGTATGCGCGACGCGTTGACATAACCAGTGGGGTTGTCCTTGCTTGGCAAGAGCTCGATGCGGTTCTCCTCGTATGGAACAACGTCCTTGAAGCGGTTGCGATCGTGGTTTTCGGACAGCGTGGCGGTGCTGCAGTCGGCTTGCGCGCGCTTCTTGAGCACGCGTTCGTACTCGGTGAAGACCATGCCCTGCTCCAGACGCTCTTGCAGCATCTTGCACTGCGGAAAACATGCCAGAGAAATTAAAGATGAGTTAACCAGACGCAGCGAAGCAAACACAGTGTACCGTGCAGAGAAATGGGGGTATAATTATAAACTGATCATTTACAGCAAACTTGGTCAATCCACTGGTGGATGAAGTCCTGACCAAACTGTGTCGGTCATAGAGGTTGTTAGACAAAACTTGACCAGATTGGTCTGTGTGGGTTGGTAAAGGGGGTAAACCTGCACCTATTTAGATGGCATCACTGATAGCTGTGGCCAGGATAATAAATTAGGTTGCTGGGTTAACAGTACAGTGCACTAACCACTGTGCCACCAATTCACTCCCTAGGTATAATGTGGGACTACTTATTATAATGTTAATGTCTTTTGCATGTAAATTGTAACCGTGATGATGAGCAGCTTCTCAAATTGCAATATGAACTTTATGACGGTACCCCGGGGTACCATAGAACCCCGGCTCTCGCATAATGTCCGTGATGCAGTCATTTTTAGTCTGTTGATGGTTGGCGATGCGGCAATCGACTCCTCTCGACGAGCTGTACGCGATGCGCTATGGTGCATGCGAGCATTCAGGGTTTCAGACCAATCGTCCTCGCTGTGTTTCAACATCGCGGAGTGAAGTACACCCCTGGAAAAAAGAGTGTCCCTGAAATAAAATATTTAATTGCCTCGGCTATTTTGTATTATTTGGTACCCCGGGGTACCGCCATGAGGATCATTTATCCGTCCATCGTCCTAAACTAAACGATAATCTCTAGTTTGTTGAAACAGAGGCAACACCATGGGAGAACAATGAGTATACATGTGCGTCACTGAACATGTATTCTAGTTGTTTATGCTATTTGCAGCTTCATGGACAACCCACTGCTCACAAAGCACATGGGCACTTGTCATTTTGTTCTCACCCTTTCATCCATGGGCACCTTGGGGGGCTCCTCCTTGACCTCCTCGGGCAGGGGGATGCGGGACATGGAGAGGCCGTTCATCACAGCCATCTTGAGAGGGCCCATCTTTTTGATCTCCGCTGTATTTCCTCGCTTCTTCTCAAGGAAGAGAACCACACAAAGGACCACGATGGTAAAGCATCCGTAGGAACACTATCCATGATGAATAATAACACGCAAGGCCTTTATTTCATAATCAGAATCTGCATATAGACCGGAGGAATCCAATGAGCTAAGAAGCTCTTTTACACAGATGTCCAGTATGCCCAGGAAAACCTCAGTCCCTCACCTGGGTTCAATTTTAGGTTGATTCTGACTTTTGGATGTTATCAATTCCAGCATTTTACATGCTGCAGAAGGTACCACGAGGAAACCCATACATTTCGAGGGCGGAACACTTAAATCTCTGCACAGATGTAATCAAGAATCCACTTCTGTACTGCCATCTCCTGCCCACCCCACAGCCTCAGCCTGTAAAACACTTCAAGTTCCAGGCAGTCTTCCATTCAAGTACCAACTGAGCTGAAGTCAGCTTATCTTCCAAAACCCAATGAGATTGAATACCTTCAGGGTGACAAACTATGCAAATATCTGTACTAGAAAAAGGTTTTGGAGACAGTGAAGGTGATGGAAATAAATGCACATTCAGCATTGTAAGAAATCTCGCACCACTGTTTTGAGATGCAAACCAACTGTTGCCTGGTGACTCAGTGAACATGTACACATTATGAACAGTGTACTTCATGTGAACATATGTATGCATGCGTCCATTCATGTGAACAGTTTATAATCTTGTTTACTTTGTTACTGTTAGGCTTCACTTTAACAAATGACATTCACTTGGGCTTTAATTACAGAAACTACCTTTCCACTGTTGTGGTGCAGATATTTAAAAAAAATCAGCTTCCTTCATATGTCCATGGCTGTTAACCACAAAATATACAAGCCTGTGGTGTATGACTCAGAGACTAGACATGCTGCAACAGAGCCAATAACTAAATATAGAGCAATGGAATGCAGTGTTCTGTCATTAAGCAATGTGCCAATCCTTGCTACTGAACACCCAATATCACAGATCATCATCACTTTGCACAGCATGAGTAAATATATCTTATGAAATATACTGTATATAGGCAGCATGTAAGACTGTCTGAAGTGCATGTGTGTATTATTATTATAAATTCTAAACCCTATGGGGAACATGTTTTTGCGATGCTCCATGTCTGTGCGAGGCTCCCGTGTGCATACATTGACATTGAAACATTACACCTTAGGGTATATATTTACGCTGCGTGTTTGGCTGTGTTTGAATTGTGTGGGCTTCTTGAGTTTTACACACACTGTGGAACACCCCTTTGTGAGCAATGCTTTTTGAATTGTTATAAAAAGAAGTCTTATAAAATAGCTTGTTTGCCAATGACAGAGAAGGGACTCCATGCTGGTAGCTCAAGGTTGGCACTGTACTTGAGCAATAAGCAACAACTGCCTTGATGATGCATACGTTTGGTCTCTACTAGACTTTGAATCTGGCCTAAGAGTCATTATAACTAACTATTTAACTATTTTTTTTATTTTACCAGGTAAGGCCCCTTAGCTACATCGCTCTTTTTCAGCGACCTGGTCACAAATGATAACTCAACAAAGTGGCTTATTATGTGGAAATGTATAGTCGGAAAATACTCTAAGCGCATGTTTCTAAATTTAGTGGGAAAAACCGAAGGGCCCGGAGAAAAATCCAAGCGGCCACGGGGAGAGACATGCAAACTGTAAATAAACAGGTGTCAGGGTCAGGATTGAACCCACGACCTACTGTACACCAGGCAAGGTAGTTAACATCTCACCATCGTGGGGCGCCATGGTAGTGATATGCCTACACTTGCTTACCCAGAAAAGCCTCACTGACTTTTAACTTCATGCCAAAAAGAAAAATGTAACTCAAAAAAATGTCCTTTCTGAAAAACACCTTAATTTTATATTATTCAGGTGCACTTTAATTTCTACTCTGAACACCATGAGAACTTAATATCAACAACTACACTTGAATATACTACTGTGGCCTGGGTAAACAATATCAGGTGCCGAATGACATTCTGCGCACCAGGTCCAATGCCAGAAAAATACCATAACTTTACAAAAACATTTTAAATATGAAACACTAGCATTATATTCTTGGTTCTTTCGGTGAAGTCACCTAGAAGGGAAACAATAAAATAATAAAAATATAAAACAACTGCAACACGAGCAACCATCATCAGGTGTGAAAACCACAGCAAGAAATTTTTTTAAAAAGTGGCGGTTTTTTTTTTACGTTAGCACCACGGAGAGCGATTTGGCAGTTATTCAGATGGACAAGTCCATCTATGTTCGGAAAAGAGGAGGGGGGAGACGAAAATAATGGATGCGGTCTGAAAGCCACCATAAGCGTGAACAATCAATTAAGACCCGAAATGGTTTATCAAATCCTTCCAATGATTGCTAAGCCAGAATCCATTTTCTCGGTTGAAATTGTATCTGTGTTTGTATATGTGAATGGCCTCATGAACGAATCTCTCATGGTAGCCAGATGGCTTGCAGATAACCTGTCTTGGAGAAGTCAATGTCATGTGAGCCTACTGAATTATAACAGTGATCTGCCACTGCCGAGGTGTTGGTCCTACCGTGTTTTAGGTCTGCTTTGTGTTCACGGATGCGGTCCGAGACATGTCGTTTGGTTTCTCCAATGTACCTACTACCACACTGGCAGTAGTTTATATTTATATTTTTGTTTCTGTTGCATAACTGGCAGCAGCTGCTATGTGGATACATGCCGACAGTGACAGAAACTGTCGGGTGGCTGTGGCTGGGGAGCTCAGAGATCAGTGCTGAGCTGGAAACACCGACATCTTGGGTTCCAATTCAGGCACCTTCCAGCGATTAAACAGGGTACTCAACTGTAGTGATTTTTATTCTTGGATCTTACGTGACTTTACCAAAAGAACCAAGAATATGAATCCCTGCAGTCACGAAAGCTTTAAATAAAAATGTAGTGATTTTATTATCGCGGCCCAATCACAACCAAAAAAAACCGTTACATTCAATATGGTTCATCAATTATTTGGCTAAATTCCAGCCCTGAGAATTAAAACTTATTGGTTTGACTGTCTCACAATGAACATCGGCCTTGTATGCAAAGCAAGGTGGGAAAGTGCTGCCCTCTACTGTATGGACCAGAGGTCACTTGAAGGGATCTCAGGAGGCAGCTCTTCCATGGGACCATTCTCTAAAATGGCAGCTTGCACTGCGCTGCGAGATTTTAAAATAAAACGTCTTCTCATGACATGGCACCGATAGCACACAAGAGATCAAATTGGAGCCAGGGGGTGGAGAAAATTCCTCTCCCCGCCGAAAATCCATAACGCAGCGCCTTACGTGTGCAAAAAGTAACAAGCCATATCGCGGCTCCTTACATGCAGCAAGAACTCCCTCTCCACGATGTTGTCGGTTAGGGAGAAGAACTCAGAGACGGGGCGCTCCCGCGGGGTCTCGGTGCGCACGCGCTCCTTGCCGGCGCTGCTCAGGTCCGGTTCGGAGACGGACGGGCCAAGGGAAGCGCCACCCATGCCCACCGCGGCGCCCTTACAGTCCACCAGCGGGCTCATGCCGCCCATCTGCTGCGCCACCAGCCCAGAATTGTGCTGCACAAAGGAACGAGGAAAACGTGGGGTTAAAACCTCGGAACAAAGACTCTCACCTAAAAAAGATAGCTTTTTTATGCAAGTCATAGCAGGTCTATGAGTTGTAAAGTTCAGAAATGTTTCGCTATCTCTACATTGTTGTTTATATTGTCTGCTTATCAAATGTTTTCCCAATTCTGTCATAGTTTTACATTGCTGATAAATCCTTTGAGACCTGATATAAAGCCACAATTGCTTGCTCGTATTATGACGAGATGGGTGGACCAGTGTCGCAGAAGTTAATGCAGTGCTGTGAACCTGGCAACCCGAGTTTGATTTCAGGCCACAGCTAACAACAGTGGTGAATGATATCCGATCCGATCGTTGGCCCTCCCTTCACAAATCCAAAAAGACCGGCATTTGGTGCGGGACCTTTCTCTAGTCGTGGACTTACAATTCACTGTTTATATATTCAGTTAAACACGTAGGCTTTCGCGACCAGTATTATCCATAAATGTTTTTGGGTTAGATCGCATTATAAATGTGTCGCAACCCTCCACCACCCGACACAGCCAATCAGTAAAAAAATAGTCACGTTAAAAAAACGCCAATTAGTTACTTCTTCAGCTCACCGGTGTGTTTGAAAAGTGAATCCACAACATTTAGAATTTGAGTACAACGTTTCGCTGGTAATTACATCCAGCATCTTCGGGCGATTTGCCAGAATAGTGAAGCCATCCACCTGCTTCCGGTATTAAATAGCGCAGGATGACGTCATCATTGTTTATATATTGTTTATTATAACTAAACATTTTTTGTACTGCCTTGAATTTCACATTCAGGGGAATTAAGTTTAAATGGAGCAAGTTTCCAAACAGTTTATGTGTCACTAATTGGTTATAGATTAAACATAACCAACATAATAATGTAATTTGATAAAATCTGTTTTTAAAGGAACATCCTATTAAATAAAATCTTTATAACTCATTACATAGCAAGACGAAGTTACAAATGCAACATTCTGAAATTGAAATACAAATGTACAAATACATGGCACTGCAAATACCCACGAGGAACGAAATGGACAATTGGGATTTGTGACATTCCTTCACTTAGGAAAGGCGATTCAAGGGAACAAGTGTCCACGAGAAGTCCTTCTACTCATTCAGACTAGACGGCCAAGGTAAAAGTCTAATTAGATGGAAATTGGTCACACATAACCCTCAATAAACATTTGTGTTATAATAGTCAAGGAATGTATATATGCTAGTTCTTTCTGCAACCTTGTGGCTTGACAATACCTACACCACAAGAGCGATGTCTGAGATGACAGATCACGTCATGTACAAAAGGCAAGGCATAGTGAACCTCACTAAACATGCTTTAAGGCAGTCAAAACATTGTGTGAATGTGATATCAAATGTAGACAAATTAGTTAATGGATGTTAAGGGTTACCAATATTATGGTAACCACGAACATCCATGGAGGGTAGTGCTGGTGTCTTGGTTAGCATGCTGAACTTCCCAAGCATGACTAATCTATAACATTTTGATTTAAAGCTTTCGTGACTGCAGGGATTCATATTCTTGGTTCTTTCGGTAAAGTCACGTAGAAGGGAAACAATAAATAATAAAAATATAAAACAATAAAATTCTCACGACGTTTCGACTGCAACACAAGCAATCATCATCAGGTGTGAAACCCACAGCAAGAAAATTTGAAAAAAAGTGGCGTTTTTTTTAACGTGAACACGGAGAGCAATTTGGCAGTTATTCAGATGGACGAGTCCATCTATGTTCGGAAAAGAGGAGGGGGGAGACGAAAATAATGGATGCGGTCTGAGAGCCACCTTAAGCGTGAACAATCAATTAAGACCCGAAATGGTTTATCAAATCCTTCCAATGATTGCTAAGCCATAATCCATCTTTTCGGTTGAAATTGTCTCTTTGTTTGTATATGTGGAGAGCCTCATGAACGAATCTCATGGTAGCCAGATGGCTTGCAAAGAACCTCTGTCTTGGAGAAGTCAATGTCATGTGAGCCTACTGAATTATAACAGTGACCTAAAACACGGTAGGACCAACACCTTGGCCGTGGTAGATCTTCGTCAATGACACATCATGCCAGCTCTCCAAATTGTTGCCAGTTTGTACCGCACATTGTTTGGCACAACCAGAAAACACATCGGGGGGCCATATAGTGCACCCACAAAAAAAAACCTACGCAGATCTTGACGTCACCACCCGCTACGTTAACCCAAACGGCAAGCGCCACATGGCAAGGAGTGAGCGGAATGCCACGGTGTCATTACCGAGGAGGTGGTGGTGTTGATGAGGAAGCTCGATGCATCCTGCCCATAGCCATGCGAGGGCCGCTGCGGTGCGGCCACCTGTCCGCCAGGGTACTCTGGTGGGGGCCGTTTGGGGATATTGGCGAGCACAGCCTGAAGGTGGGATTTGTATTCCTGCGGGGTCAGGACAGCCGGCGAGCGTGGCGGCATGGGCAGCACGTAGTCTTGCCTCTCCTCGATCTCCACCTCGCCCTGGTTGCCACCCATTCAACACAAGGCAGGAGGAGGTTAAAGATGCACACAAGACATATTATTCAAATATAAACGGACATTGATTTGATGGGCTGGGAGAGCACAGGGTAATGCAGAGAACAAATGTATTTTGTGGACAATACTGTATACGAATTCAAGCAAAACGCACAATGGTCATCTTGCTCAATCCCACACTTACACTCAAAGTCTCAACCAAATTAGATTTGAAAAAGTGCCAACTCGGCGGTCATTGGACATTTATCTTTTTTGATGTAAAATGACAACTACTGTAACGCGAAACCGTTTTGTATGTATAATTGGTAATGTCGGTATCACAATACAAGCAGTCTGTATTAACAAAAGCGTACTTTTCAACTAGAATATATTGGTTGTCATGACGCCACATGTGGGAAAAAAAAACAGATTTTTTTTGGCAGGAAAACCAAACAAGAAAAGTTTCCAGAGTGCAAACGTGTAGAAGATTATACCCCGTTACGTCATTAACAAGTTCAGCCCTATCGTGCCACACTGCAGCCATTGGCAGGAAAGGTGTACACAACGCTTAAGCCATGCCAACGAGTGCGCAATTGGCTCCTGTTAAAGTAAACCGGCGAATAGGAATGGCAGCAATGGAAGCGATTAATGCATGGGCAGTTGTTCGTCATGCTCACTGAGCTCTATCCGACTGCTCTGTGGGATGAACGTCAGCAGGGCTTCAATTGACGTAGTGGGGTTTCTTTTGGTCATTTGATGCAATTTTCAATACGTTACAGTGTAGAAAACGCACTATGAATTTTAACCAGCTGATCTAAGTGCATTCAACCCCTACGCATCAATTTAAAGTCCATCAATGCTCTTTTTATATTATATTTGTGGCTGCAAGTACAAAGCATTTTGGATTTGTGTCAAAATAATCGTTTTAAGTCTACAAAAGGAAATAGGCTGCATCAGAAATGGTTCAATTGGCAACCAGATTTCAATTTAAAAGCAAGAACTTTCAGCCGAATATATAAGCAAGGCTCCTTTATGTATGTCTCCCCACGTAAAAAGTTTAAGTATTTTTACACAATCCATCACCCTCACAGCCTCTGGGGAGTGCACATCAACAGCATTAATTAAAGGCAAACTTTGGACCGGTTTTGACACTGTCTCATCAGTAGCCAGGTTTGCTTGAATCGATGCTGGTAATCTGCCATGTTAAAGTCAAGGTCCCTCTATTTAAGAGATGGATTTTAACGTGCAGCTGGATCTGTTACAATGTACTGTTATGAACCGTATCAGCTCAAAGAAGACTCGCATAATTTAAATTATCTGATATTCCTAAGCTTCACTATATAGAACCAACGATCATAAAACCCTGTCATTGTTTAACGGTAGACAGCACTAAACATCTGTTTTACATTTGTCCACGTGGCCACCATAACTGCAGTTGCTTTCCAGTTGATCTTGGCACATTACAAATATGTACACAAGTCATTGGGCTTTATTACTCTGTTATATTTGAAGCAATACTTGTTATTCATACTATGTGGTTAAATTAAAGCCTTGTATTAAGTTTCTTCCCACTTTAAAATAACTTAAACTTGACTTAGTACATTTGGAAAAACAACTGCAGCTAAATGGCTATTGTGTAAAAAAAACACAATAAACAGTCATTAAACTAAAACAATATTTTAAGGTACAAATGTACAAAGCAATTTGCAAAGACTTTTGACTGCAGGTTATAGCCAAGCATGCAAGGGATTTCTATTTCTGAAGATTACAAAATACATTTAATAAAATATAATCCATGCAGATAAAAAGCATGTCTGTTGGTACTGTTTATCAACTACAATTTACGGAGCATCATTAAAACCTTTTTGTAAAATCAGTGATCACGTGTAAAAACTCAGGAAAGGAAAACAATTGCTCCCGAGTGTACCTCCCTCCAATCAAAACGTACATCAAAAATGTGGAAACATATGAAAGCATTTAATTTCAAACTTAAAAACAATATACTTTTTTTGTTCAATGTTAAACTGTTAAATCAGAGATTAAATCACACGGGCTTATTTTATGAAGTAGATCACTTGAATATCATTAGCATATTAAAAATATACACAGCACATCTGCTATGGTGCAAAACTATCTAATAACTAGTGAGAAGTGCATTCAGATTCAATGGTAAGAAGTTAACATCAAAGGAATGTAAGCACACTGGTGATTTAATTACTTTCATGTCATGAATTTATCAAACCATATATTTAAATTTTTTTAACAATAGCGACCTTGAATAACAACACAACTCTACAATATTTAGCATACTCTTGATTTGAAGCTTTTGTGACTGCAGGAATTCACACTCTTTGGTTCTTTCGGTAAAGTCACCGAAAGAACCAAAGAGTATTTAGCAAAATGTTTAAAAGTCTAAAGGAGCTCCAGCCCGGGCAAGTCTTGAACTCGGCCTTTATGACGACTTGAGCACAGTGTGTCACGCACCAGGAAATTACTCCGCTCAGGCGCCCCGAACCATTTCTATATGCTCCTTTTTAGTCACTTCCCTGTCCTTTCTGACACTTTCCTGACTCTCCACCATTCCCTTTCGTTTCTCACAACGGACTGCCAACCGACGCCTCATTTGTATTTGTTTGTTCCCCAGCTTCTTTTAAATTACCCCGACGTCAGTCTGATGTGAATCCACCTTCCAATCAGATCGTGCGCCCCCACGTCAGCTGCCCCTGTATTAGATCACCAGTCAGGGTCGAGCGCGCTATTTGAACTCGCACGACGTTAAACCCGGTTAGGATATATCTGTGGAGTCATTAATAGGGTTTGCCTAATATAGGTTTTTTGGGTTAGATCGCGTAGATATATAAATGCGTCGTTAAACCCGCCACCACCGGACACAGCCAATTAGCAAGGTTTGTCACTTAAACAGAACATGCCAATTCGTTACTAGTACAGTACACCAGTGTGTTGGAAAGCAAATCCACATTTACAATCTGAGTACAACGTTTCGCCAGTAATTACAACTAGCATCATCAGGCGACAGCCAGATTAGTTTGCCTCTCAGAATCTCTTACAAAAAGTAAGTTCACACCGCAGCTATTGACAGCTGCAGTGTCAGAAGCAAAGTGACGGGGGGCACGCATGCCAGATGACGTCACAGCGCACTTTGGTGGGGGAGTCGCCCGTGTTCCCGGGCAATAGATGTACCCCCAGTGATGCCTATACAGCGTATGATTTAAAATTGGGGTTTATGTCAGGTACCAAGATATTTTAAATGGTGCAACGTATAAGCAGCATCCGGGTTGAATCGTAATTGGCCAACTTATTATGTCAGAGGTTTCATTTATTGTTGTTGTAAGTTCAACTTCGATTGCAGCAACAACATATCGTAAGCTTTAAAATGACACCAAATTCATTTAAATTGGCAAAGCAGTTTAGTTGTCCAGACAAGCATACAACTTTCAATATTTTTATGCAGGTTTTAAAGGGTGCTGAATCCAAATATGACAGCAGATTTTTAAAAATGTAAATCTTCAATCTGGGGAACCAAAATTGTAAAATTCGTTTTGTTTTTAAAAATAGGCCTGAGAAAGTGTACATCTGATCATCACATCATAATTTCGACAACTACACTTTTGGGGTGCTTTTTGTAACAGTGACTCTTTATGCAGGGTATGCACGAGACAAGCGTGTCAACTGTAATCGCTGGATCGAGGTAGTACTCAACAGCAATGGGGACTTGATAACCCAAAAGGAATTTGGTTTAATGTTTCTGTGCAAAACGTACCTCTCCTTCACTCTCACTGCTGTGGATGAGCACCGTGGCATCAGAAGGGGACTTCTTGTGGCTGTATGACTGTGGCCTCTGAAGTTCCAGCTCTTGCTGCTGCTGCTGCAGGGGAGAAGTAACGACCGCTGGGGGCCTCAGCCCCTCCTCCATCCCTCGGGGCTGATCCACAGACGCCGAAGGCGGTAAGACTTTTATCACGGTGGCGTCGGTGCCCACAATCGGCCTCGGCCGGCCCGATGCCCGGCGCGAGATGGCCAGGGCCTCCACCTCACGGGCTAGGCCATTGGCCCCGGGCGTCAGGGCCACGGGGGGAGTGGCGCCAAGGCTGTTGCGTTTTCGCAGGCCGCGAAATCGAGTGAGCGGCTCGCTCACCTCCAGCAGGCTGCGGTGCACGACAGGAAGGCTGTCCTCCTGCACGCAGCCACAGACGCCGTGGGTTGATCGAGTGCCAGAGTGAAATCTTACATCACGTAAACCTCCCTCTTGACCAATTTTCAATTAATCACATGTTACACCAAAAGTAGTTGTCAGTCAGGACTCACTAAATATTCAGGGTGTCATTAATTCTACGTTTTTTCTAAGCAAACACTTTTATACTAACGGAAAAGTGTTTGTGTCACCATTGTGAGAACTAAATAAACTTGAAACTTGCAATTGTATTGACTGCTTTTATAGGAATTTGTCAACGCCGGCTGCTAAGCAACCAGACTGTAACTGGGTAAAATATTGTATTCAATGTTTACTTCCAGGTCACCTCATTGTTCAGCCTTCATTTGAGATTATCATTTTTTTTTAAGATGTCCATGTAAGGCCGAAGAGTGGGAAGCATACCAATTAAATTTAATAATAAAATAATTTGCGGTGGCATTGCACATCAATATTTAATTCCAGAGTTGTTTAAAGTCAACCATCCTGCTTTTAACATTTTCTCGTTGCATTTTTCCACTTTGTCTGATGGCTCGATCAACAGAGGGGCTTGCTAAGCACAAATGTAATCATCAAATTGTGATTAATTTGTTTAAAACTTCCAGTGACCGAATCTGCACTGGTAAAATGAAATGGGTGGTCTTGCACAACACTTTTGTAATAATAAACGAATTTATAGTTGTGGCACCTTAAAATAATCCAATGCACATGCCATAATAAAACACACATGTAGCAACCCAACAATCTCAAGTGTGATGAAAGGTGATTAACTGGAAACTTTACTGGATAACTGTACACCGGTATTTTTGTTTATTTGTTTTCGCTCTTTTCCCCAAATTATTTCCCGATTGTGCTATCAGCGTCATATCATGAGATAAATTACCTATTCGGATCTCCCATGGGGCAGCGCAACCCTTTGCGTGAGAGAATGGCCCATGGAAGTGTATACCACCATCGCTGCCTCTCAGATCCCTTCAAGATACCTCTGGTTCACACACTTTCCCACTCGCCCTGGCCACTGAGAGTAATGTTCGTCGCACGGCATTCAAACCGATCTTTTAATTTTCAGCACTGGAATTTTGTCATATTTTATTGCAGAACCAACTTTAATGAAATGGGGTGTTTTTTGTTGCAGTGATTGGTGACCGGGCTGAGACCATGAAACCACTACATTTGGGTGTGCTGTTTAATGACAGACAGCTGTCTGGAATTTAACCCAGGGACTCAGTGGTGCCGGCTCAGTGCTTTGACCTCTGAGTTACCCCAGACACCTCGTCAATTAATTTTGTCCATGGTAAAACAATTAACTTATCCACTAAATCAAAATCATAGGCTATTAAATATAGATTTTGCATGGTTTTATCTTGAACAAATGTTGTCATATTTTGTATAAAGTTAGCTTACATTTACACAGGCTACATCCAATATAAACAAACCATTCCGTTTACAGCGTTATTTTTGGTTTAACTCATACGAGTGTATAAAATGCACACACAAAAGGGCTGCATTAATATTATGAAAACTTCATTAATATAGATTTGTTTTGGGTTAGATCGCGTAAACATAAATGTGTCGTTAAACCCGCCACCATCCGACACAATCAATTAATAAGGTTTGTCACGAAAACAGAACATGCCAATTCGTTACTAGTACAGCACAGTGTGTTGGAGAGAAAATCCATAACATTCACAATCTGAGTACGACGTTTCGCCATTAATTACAACTCGCTTCATCAGGTAACAGCCAGATTTTTTTAAATAAAGTTATCTTTACAGCATTCTAAGTATGTTGTACGGTACAAATTTTTTTTATTACAATTTGCAAACAGAAGCCATTTAGTTTTCCATTCGTTAGCCCAATAACAAAATGCTCTGTCATGTGCAATATTTTAAATTTATCAGGTGAAGTAGTTTTTTGTTCTAATTGCTATTTGCTTCATTGCTGTACTTTATTTTATTTGTTTTTCTTTTGTCATATTGGGTGACCCAGTTCACTCTTGAAATTAGACTTTCTTGGCTTATCTCTGGAGTTCTCACCCACTTCTCAACAAAGCAACCAAATTTACAAGGTAGCAAATGAAAAGTTATCACTTATCCATCCACTGCACAAACATGTAAAGGTGGCAGATCATCACTGAAAAAACCGTGCACACTGGTAGACAGTCTGTACAGATACTGCAGTGTAGAGTTAGCATGGAAAACAGGGATTGTTTGCTGGAGAAAGAAGATACTACACATGAACTTTAGTTACTGTAAAAGCATGACCAGAAAATTGACTCGTCAACCGATGTCACATGACACCACCTTTGGCGAAAAATAACAGAAGAGACAATATAAGTGACGTAATTTCTTATGACATCATACCTTCAGATACATTTTAAATAAAGCACACCATCCAACAATTCATATCTTGACCTAATTTTCAGATTTTTTTTTTTAATGTAAAAAATCGGGTAAACATTGCTGTGTCAAGAGCCCCGATGGAATAAATGACGCTGTTCTGCTGACTGACCGCTTCACACAGCACCGCTCACCTGGAAGGTCTGCACCGAGTGCAGCACGCGCCGGCTCACCAGGTCCGGGTTGCTGCTGCACACCCGCTGGTGGGCAACCAGGTCGGGTGTGCTGGCAGCCGGGCGCGGCCGTGGGTACGGAGGCGGTGGCCCCGATGCCGCCATAGGCGGAGGCTGCTGTGGGTGCCGCTGTGACTGAGAGGAGAGAAGACCGCGCAGCATACGGCCTGCAGGGTTCCCATAGCTCTGCTGCTGCTGCTGTTGCTGCAAGGTTGGCACCAGATGCTGGGTAGGGGGCCCAGAGGGAGGTAGTGCCGCTGGCGGCGGCGGCGGCGGCGCGGTGGCAGGGTGGGCCTCCTGCGTCAGCTCGGGCGTGCTGACCGTGTGTGATATGGCGCTGGCTGCCGGTGTGTTGTAGGAACACGGGTGACCGCCAGTGCCTAAGTATGTCGGCTGCATCGGGTGACTGTAATTCATCTGCGATGGTGATGGTGGGATGGAGGTAGAGGATCATACGTACACATAAATCGACCGATAAATTTAACCTCAACTTAAAGTAAAATAAACATGTTAATTATAAAAAAATATCTCACAACAATTTGCGAAATAATGTTTAAAGAATAACATTGCCATATATCCACAAAAAAGTATAGAAACTTAGGACCGTTCTGTTGCTATACTTTCAACACCTATATAACAAAGTCATAATTTCAAAAGAGCTACCGTATTCACAGAGTTATTCTTAACCATCGCATTTCCTGTGTGCATTAAATGTATACCTGCAGAGGGTAGTGGTGGTGCTGCTGCTGCTGTTGCTGCTGCTGCTGCTGAGGGTACTGCCCATGGTGGTCAGCACGAATCTCAGGCTGGCTGTACACCAGGCCCTCGGGCTGCGCGTACGCATGCGCGCTGCCCAGGTTGAGGCTACGCAGGGACTGGCTGTGCCGCTCCATGCGGTAGGCTGCGGAGCGCTGGAACTGCCGCATGACCGTCTCGTAGTCCGGCGTGGGTCGGTACGATGGCACGATGATGGCGCTGTGCCGGTGGCTAGGCACGTAATCGGGCCGCATGAGCAGAACCTCGCTGCCCGGGATGCTCAGGTTGGACGAGATTGGTGATGGTTGCTGCTGCTGCTGCATCTGTTGCTGTTGTTGTTGCAGAAAACCCTGCGAGTATGGATTACAACATCAGAGTAATATAGAAATTATAAAATGGAACAAGCCTATGACTAGATCACCTGGAGTGTGCCCAATTAGGCTAGATCTCAAAAGCTAAGTAATATTGAGTTTAGATGGTGCTTGGTGATTGCGGGTGCTTTAGGTTACTGCGGAGTTACATTGTTGTAGTGAACTATACTTCCCGCCTTCAACAACCTGCATTGACCAGTGTGGTAAAAGTGTTGTCAACAACAAAAAATCCCACAACCGCAGTGTGGGTGTGGGAATGCCCTCATACAGCAGTGGATAAAAGGTTGTTTCTGAATTGCCGTGTGATCAGTGCCATTGCTTGTTTATTTAAGGATTTACAGGTTTGAATCCATGACCAGCCACAAAATAGTGTTACTGGGAAAAACCAAACAGCAAACATGGGCTGCTACTGGGTGCCTACATGTAATAACTAATGAAAATGTAAAGTGAGTCACTATGTGCGAATGCCATGGGTGTATGTGGAGCATGATTCTTGTTTACAAAATTAGAAGAGGATGGCATCATAAATACTGGAGCTAAATGACTCTATGTCACTCAGATGTTATTTTGTATTAAACTGCCCAGTGTAATTACCAGCATATGGGCAGTGATGATGATGATGATAATGGTGATATAATGTAAAGCATCTATAGCCATACTGGGAACATGATGGAGCTCGTTTGTGCTGCTTTGCAAAACACTGCAGAATGTGAATTCCTGCCGTATGGGGGGTTGGGCTGTGGGGTGGGTGGGGGTCAGCATACCTTCGCGATGCTGTGTATAGATGTCATCAAAGAGAAAGTTCTCCATTTTAAATTAACCAAACTTGCAGGACTGGATTGTGCGCACAGATGTCAGGCGTGGCCAAAGTGATTAATCGCAATTGGCTCGCAAAGCTATTTAATGATTCATTTAAATGTAGAGCCAAGCCTGGCTATTGCCACTGCAAACAGTCAGCTGTAAGTAAGGAAACTAAAATGTTTATAACCCTTAGCTTGCTCCAAGAATTATTTTGAAGTCTTAACAAGTGGTTAGTTAATTGTGACCCGAGATTGACTCCCGGCCACATTTATAGCAGTATCTGAACTAATTCTGGGCCCCCCTTCACCAATGTGTCCTGACCAGTGAAGTGACGTATGGTCAAACAACCCTCAGGAGTCACACACCGTAGGGACGTCTTCATCCAGCAGTTGACTGACAAAAGACTAACTTATTTCTCAACAAAACCTGCCATTTAACTCTATGTAGTTGTTTCCCCATCACCTGCAGAGCTGTAGACCAATATGCACAAATGCACTTATTTATCCTACCTAGCATTATACATTGCTGTACACGTCCCTTTGATTTATTTACTTAACATAATAATTGGGAGTCGATGACCATATAACCCAGGAAGTGCCTAATCTCATAAGGTTCAAAAGCTAAGGATGGGTGAGCCTATGCAGTGCTTGGAAGAGTGACCACCACTGTGCACAGCAGGTTGGCATAGGTAGCTGCAAGGCTTCGCTACATTGTGGATAGTAACGGAAAGTTTGCTCCCGAGTCAGCGATTGGAAATAGTTTTGCCTTTTTGTGAAAATGTACGTTAAAAACTGTATTAGTATTAGTGCTGTACTATACTTCTATGATACAGCGCGCGCCTATGTTCCCCAACTTCACTGACCCTCACCGACTAGCGATGCAGAATTTCACGTGGGGAGGTCCTCATCCAATAGTGGATTGACAAAAAAGGGGCTGTACATGCATTGGGAAGGGGACAAACAAAATAAGACAGATGTCTTGCCTGTGAGTGATTGTTGAGGGAGTTGAGGCTGGGAGCACTATAGACACTGCCATTGGGAACCTTGCCATTGGACACCTGCTGCCCTGCATATTCCAGGGGGTATCGATCCAGGCTGGTCTCGGAGCGGTAGAAGAAGTTATCTTGCTGCCCCGGGTAGATGCTGTCTGTAGTCAGAAGAGGGAAAAACCCCGGAACAATTACACCAAGCTGTTTAAACTCACAACACAGGTTTGCATTAGAGTGTCAAATATATTTAACTGAAGTTTGTTGTCAAATTAAAAGATAAAAAAAAAAACTTATTCAGATCAAATGTAAGACTGGGATAAGAACACACAAGTCCTCTCCAACACAAGAATGCAAACGTGCACATAATAGTTTGGCCATGTTAGGACTATCAAGATAAAAAAGCGAGCATGTGTGCAATACAACATTATGTTGAAATGACCATTCAATATATTTTTAAATGACAATCAATGCAAGTGGATTAAGAAGGCTTTCATTGGCAATGCTGTAGAATGCTGTACAACAATACTTGCTTCACAACCTTATGAAGATTCATAACAGACAGCACAATTGGCATCAAAAGCAGTTAAGCAGCAATAATATAAAAATGCAACTATAATCAAATCATTTAACTATGGCATAATGTACAAGCTGTTGGAACCCATAGGCAGTGTTTAAACATACCTTGACTTAAGCACCAAAATAATGTTTACATAAAAAGGTAATATAGCTTCTCGTTTACCGTATAACATGGGTGAAAGTAAAAAAAACACATCTGCAATTACTATAAAAATGTAATTACTAAACATTTATATTACATTTAGAAAACATTTATGTTTGAATATAGCCATTGTTTTGTATAAAATTGCACTGGAACAAAGAGTAAACCTACCTTGTGAAGACATGTGAGTTTCTGTGTAAGGTTCATTGTACTGCATCTGCATGGGAGGCATGATGTACGGCTGCTGCCTCTGCTGTTGAATAAAACAGATGCTTTTAGAGCGTACCAAATTACGTCAATGTGCACATTTTTTTTTTTTACCAATGGATTTTACCTGCTGAAAATTATTGAATGTAAAAATGTACACTTACAAAGAAAAACTGAGCAAAAGCTAAAGAAAATACAAAGAACAATATATGCTGGCAATTACACGGCGAGACAGGAAGAGGAGCACATGGACTAGAGAACAGATGCAAACTAGTGCCAGCATACCGATGGTTAAGGAAAGTATGCGACCTTAGGCAGAGACACATAGTTAAGATGGACGACGGCCAATGGACGACCCTGGTGACAAATACTCAGGCATATGAAGAAACATTCAAAAACAACCACCAGCTACGTGAATAGAGTGCGGAGATTATGAGCTCATGTACAGGAGCGAGGGGGATTATCGCACATTGCAAGTCTGTGAGCAATGGCACCAGGTTGAGCAGGCCCTTCATCCACTAGTAGAGTTGATGGTTGATGATGTTATAATAGTTCATGGGATGTCATAGCAATGGAGGATATCCACATGCTTATTTTATTACTGAATAAACAAAAGTATGAAACTATCGAGGTTTCAAAGAGAAGCGCGCTGTTTAATAAACAAGAGTCGTGTTGATTAAAAAAAAGATCTCCATGAAGTACATCTGGCATCACATGTGAGAAACCAGAAACTTGTTTATCTTGTAGTTCACAAAAAACTCAACTTTTGCTCTCCAAGCAACGTACCATGGATGAACGCGTGAGCGTCGACCTTCTCCTGATAAGCGTAGGAGAAGTATTCTGTGTTTGCCTACAAAGATACAAAGGTCAATCAGAGAATAGGCAACATACAATAAATAGTAAGTCACAACCCGTAAACATCTTTAGAACAGCAACACTGAGCTTTAGGAAAGACTTTTTTTATGAAACCGGAGTTCAACTCCACAGTTTTTGCTGGGCAGGAACTTTTTTTTATTGTGGGTAAATTATGAAAACACAAACGTGTTCACTGTAAAATATCCAATCAATACAAAACAGAAAGCTAGGATTTACAATGATAACCCAAGATACAAGAGGTATTTTATGGTAACAAACTAAGACTCAATACAACCAGCAACCATGAAATAAAACAAAATATATAATTTGGCTTTGACAAAGCAATGACTGACATGAATGTGCAAAATACACTAAAGCAAAAGTGTCAAACACAGCAATGAATAATGCAAAATGAGCTTTTTTTTGCACAAACTTAGTTTTAATTTGAGTTGCCTATGGCTAACTCTGAAAACAAAAATGTTGCCAGTTAACCACTTGGGTTGGGTTGATTACATTCATAACCCTTGAGGCTACAATCATAGAAATATGACCACAACTTTCAAAGAGCATGAGTGAAAATATCATGAGTAGAACCAAACCATAAATAAAGAAGTTTATTTGAATAAACATCACTGAGTATAAAGCTAATGTAGCACTAACATACTCCTTGATGGATCAGTTTGTCTTTTTATTGAGTATGGGTTTCAATTTTAAGAATGAGCCATCTGGTTTGTAATTGTCTCTGATTATAAACAGACACAATACAATGCACCATGATTTGTGAATTGGGAATTCCAGCTAGTCTGTACAAGCACTTGACTGAGAGTGGGCGAATGCAAGTAAAGATTTACCATTCAGAGGTCCAGTAACCAATGCCTCTGAAACTAAGTTGGCAATGAGCCCAACTTTACACAAGGTGCTTGAGTTAAGCAAAGTGGTTCAAGTAATCAATTGAAAAACGTGCAGACAATCATTAAGTTGTGTATTTCAGAGCTGATATTCCATCAGATGTAGCAAGGTAATGAAGAATAAAGCAACACAGAAAAAACTACTTTTCATTTGATTTTCATCAAATTTGTTAAAAATGCTGACGCTAAGAGGCAGATAATTGAATACGTTGTACAAAACGCTCCCGATGCCATTGTCAAGAGGCACGCTGTAGCACAAGTACACACATTAAGTACAGTATTTAAAAAGCAGAGAACCTGGAGCCATAAAACAAGATTTAAAAAAAAATCACCAGAATGGATAAGGGACAGAAGAAGCAGCAGTTAGCAGTCATCAGGCTATATGCAATGTTAAGAGAAATGGAGGGATAGTAAAGCTTACATGTAGGTAGAGAACACAGCCAATTTCCGCCTCCCATCCTTTAGCAGATGATTGTTACATGACCCAGTACTGTAGGCACAGAAGGAGAGAACAGTGGAGCAGACACCAGCGAAAGATGTACAGCAAGAAGGAAAGCGGATAACAAAGAATGTATTCCTAAGATGCAGTGGAGCAGAGTCACAGAGCCTCATAGGAGGAAATAATGCTATTGTCGAAAATATGAACCAACATGGGTACCAACACGAATGTAAAAAAAAACACCATCAGAGGCCAACACAGACACGGACATCAACGGTTCACAGAAGCCAGAGACGCATCATGCCCCACCAATTTTCAAAAAGTGTTGCATCATTGTAGTCAGAGGACATGATAGTATTGCTGTTGCGAACCTTCTAAAAAACACTTGTTTCCATTCTTATTATTCATACAATTCTTTATTTACTGGAGTTTCAATTGTGTTTTCATTTAGAGATTGTCTAGCACGATCCCAATACTTAACTAGCCCACTGATAGGGAAATAGCATTGCAATAAAGAGGATTAATGATGTCTGAGCTGTGTCTGACAGAGGGTGCCTGTGCTATGTTACACAGCCACAATCTCCACATTCTCAAACAGTAACGCATACGCTGAAAGCACGCACGTGCAGTGCACCACAATGGTTCACATTGCATTTTCAAATGTAATTTTTTTTACCAACAAAAGCCAAGATTAAGAACTGTCATAAAGGAGACTTCCATGGTGATATACCATCTTACACAGAAGTTATTACACCAAGAGGAGAACATATTTTTCCAAATCAACATTCTTGATCTATTGCTACTCTCAAAGACTGCTCCTACAACTGCTATTCATTGTAAACTTTTGAGATGAAGTGCAAGCAAAATGTATGTTAAAAACTAACTCGGCGCTAAACCATCTTAAAATTAACAGTCAACAAAATAACAATAAAATTACTGACAAGTAACGTACTAGTTATTGCAAATCCCAATAAGTAAATGTCATCCAATGCCATTTTTACCAACGACAACATCAACATGTTTTAGAACACCCAACACTTATTAATGTTCATATAAAAATAGAGGCTACATCTAACCAATTTTTATTCACAAATGTTAATATTCCAAGACCAATTTCGAGAAGAAATAACTTCCAATTAAACAATGAATTGCTTGTAGAGTGAAAAAAACTGGCTTAAAATATATATTCTAACCAGAAAAAATTCGGGTGATGCTTCTATGTGCTTGTATGTATGTTAAACTTCCTTCACACCGCAAGTAGCCAACAATAGGCTGTAGAGTTTGCACGTCATAAGATCATGCTCTTCATCAATAGACACAAACAACAAATACAAACAAAATTATGAGAATGAAAGAGCTTGGAATATTGCAAGTGCAGCTGATGAGATTGAAACGGGTTTAGAAATTAAGCAAAAATAATAAGATGGAAATGGAAAGCAAGAAAACATTTTGGAAGCCCAATAGTCTACCGCTGCACACTTACTCCATCAAACTCTTGTTCAGCCTGTAAAATTTGTGCTTGAGTGAAAACATTCGCCAAACGTACTTTGCCATTTCAATATCATCCTACAAAATGAAACAAACAAAAAATCAGTACAAATGAGAATATTATAAACCAAAAATGCAAAAACATAAAAAAGTGATGTAAATCAATAGTGTTCATTCACAAGAAACAGTGACCGGGTATAGGTTAGCAACCCACTGTTTGAAACTGCACCGTTTCCTCCTTATTCATAAGCTCCAGTCCAACAAAGGCCTTATTGTGAGTAACGTTTGTGATATCGCTCCATCTGAAACAACATACACATGCAAGCATTACTATACGGCTCGTTTATTTTTTAATAAAAACTCCTAAATCACCCACATTTATATGTTCCAGATAAACATTCTCTTGCACAGTGAAGACTAACTACATCAACGTAAATTATCGTCCATTAAAAGTTGTATGAACAATGTTCGGAACGAATAAACAATAAATGTCATTGCATGGATATTTACACAAACCAAAAACTGATTACAGGCATTTTGGATATTCTGAATGACGACGCACAACAAGCAATTGTGAAGAATGAGCTCAACTGCTTACTTGTATAGGGCTGGAGCTTTTTCACTTTTGTACTTCACAAATATTCCTTGGAAGGCTGTGCCTATGGTAAGGTCAGTTCCCGTACTCTCCTACACAGACAAAAAATAGCATACACAAATAAAATAACCCATAATAGTTTGTAATCATAAGTTTAAAGCAAACTCAAATTAGTCTGTTTAAAAAAAAAAACAAGTATTCAAAATAATGCAGGAATTAGAAATGGCGTGCATTTATGAATACAGCATTTTCATATCAACCAAACACTGAAAATGTCACAATTGCATATATTACCAAATGGAATATTGTAAGAAAATATGGTGAGGAGAAATACACATATTTCTTCCCTTGTGTGCCAGAGTTTGTAAATGATCATGTGTTTAACAAAAACTACACCTCATAACAGAAAAAGACACCACTTAAGCGTGAAACAGTAAAAACAGTTATGAAACTGACTGTTGACAGAATATTGTTTCAGAAAGTGGCATGCTTGAGATCTACACACGAGACATGGCACAACCATGATCAATAACTGCTACTGAAATACAGACATGGCCAAACTGAACCTGTATGACGTTAAAACAGAACACAGCCTTAACTGAGAGACCACTAGTTGAAGGTGACATTTAGGTGTGACGAGGAGCAAGAGGTCACGTTTCAATGAGTCAATGTGCAGACTGCCTCATGCTTCTACATGATACAGCACAGCAAGCTTAATTGGAGTCGTGGCAAGACCATTCCAGTGCAGGGTGGTGTGTGTGCAGGTGTGCATTGATTGACCCATTTTATAGGCCCATCCCCATTTTCTACACTGCACAGTTGTGCCTATAATCTTTGGCACACCCTCGCTGGAAACCGCAAACCACGCCCCCACATACCCATACAGCGCGAACAACACCACGCGGGTTTCATAGATGGTTCATCAAACGGCCATCGTGTGAAGGGAAGCAACGTGTGCTTTTCAAACAGCTTAATTAGCACCCTCAAACAGAATCATTTGTTCCTCTATCACAGATAAATTGAAGTTAGCGTAGCTATACGAGTCTCAAAAATGTAAAGGAGGCTCACCTTGGCTGGGAAACTCTCATGGCCAAATCCGTCAAGCTTCTCCACCTCTCGGATGTAGACAAGTTCAGCTTGTTCTGCTATCAGGCCCCTAGAAGATGAAACACGCACAAATATGTTGGTGTTGACTTCAAAAGCAATTCACCGAAATAAACAATACTTAAATTCAAGATCAAGATGTCATCATGGCCAAGGGCCTCTGATGCCATCACACCTTGCGAACGCTTTCTCCCTTCTGCCAGATCCCACCGATGCTGCGAAGTAGACAGCTGACCCCCAAGGTCTGCCCTAACAGTATCCAACAAACCTTCTTAGGTCTGTCCCTTCATTGCCAGATTCGTGGAGACCACTGGTGCTGCTTACCGAGACAGGCAATAATTTCGGCAATTATCCATCAAATTAAATTCTTTAATATGTTTGCAGTAGATTTTCGCAAGCCGAAGATCTTTTTTTTGTAATACCAATATGCACTGCTGATATCACCAATATCCAGAAACTTAATAATAACCATAAAAAAACATGTATTAGCTTGCAGCATTTTGCACAGGGCATCCAGTGGATATTATACAGAGAAACATATTAATATAATGCACCATGAAAAGGCATTTCAATCCAAGCTCTCACAAACCAAAGCCTTTATTAAACATGTAAAGGTTAAAATCACACAATTTCTGAACTCATAAAAGTGTCACACCATTAAAATAAATCGTACCTATAGATGTTTTAAAAAGGTTAGATATATTTTTGTTATAATTTAATGTTTTTACTGCTGATATTCAATATATTTATGCATGTGACGAGTTAATGGAGGCTTTGTATATCATATGCAACTAACGGTCTCTTTATCTGAATGACCGATGAAGATACGCATTGTACATGCCGAACGATACCTTATTCATGTACTTTGCTGAAAGAACAGTGACGTAAGTATAAAGAAGGCATGTATATTGCAGAGTTTTACATGAGCAATTGAATCGATTGGCGGTGACCCGGGTCACCATCGTGACCCGGGGGTGCCAAAACCTCCATAACTCCGAAACCAGAAGGCCTATGAAGACGGGAGATGTCACTGAGCCCGATACGAACGCCAAATATGGAAATAAAAAACACACGCAAAACACCCATAAAAAAGGGGGGCTGTTCGGGATTTGTGCGTGGCAATGTCTGTTTATTGCTTGTTTTGAAAGTACATCAGGATGCTGGTCTGGTCATTCCCTAGCACGTTCTGCTTCTTACGGGGGCGGCCACCCTTGTCTTTGGGAGCGAGACCACTTGGAGGCAATGGCGCACCAGGCGCTCTCTTGGTACGGCTGGCGGTCATGGTCGTGCTGGCGGGATCGACATCGTCGTCATCATCGCTCCCAGCGTCGCCCTCCGGCAGGACAAGATCGTACCAGCGATGCTCCCAGAAAAAAAACCTTAAACTATGCCCGGCCCACCAATATTTTGCGGTGACCCGGGCTACCGCCAATCGATTCAATTGATCAAACGTAACAAGAATAAGTAAACTTTTTTTATAAATTCTTCATAGAAAAAAAATAAGCTTTTTATAATAAAGTTTATGACATATACAACAATTGTATTGATTATCTGGAGAACTGAGGAACATGGCCCTGGGCAGGTCACATGGGTGTATATAGCACGTGTATACAGTCTTCAAATAATGAGCAGGCACAATTTTTTTAATGCGTTGGTTGTGTTCCCTGAGTGCTGGGCACGGGAATGGTGTTCTCATGTCTATGTTCGGACCATGTTGGTGACTGACCACTGTGTGAATAATTAAGCTTTCTTTATATTAACATTTACGGTATTACAATAGTTTTATCAATCACCTGGGAATAGAGACACTTTGACTCGTGGGATAAATCATTATCAGCTGACAAATCACACTTTTGAAAGGTAGTATAGCGACATTATACTTGCTGCCAGGAGCTACACACACGACTCGCATAGCATGGAGTAGTGGGCTCTAAATCCAATTAGCGTCTAAATTCCACCCTATTTAAAGCACCATTAGCCTTATTTAGATGTATTTACTAAATTTAAAACAGCATCGTAAGACCGTTCCACAGTATAAATAAACTTGGAGCAAAAGAACTTCCAAGCAAGTGTGAAAACCGTTACACGACGAGACGCAGAACGTGACTCAAGATTCCTCTGCACCTCCGATTAGCACAGCTGGCTACCTACGGTGCAAAATAACTTATATATAAAGGTGACTTTTAAGTGATGCTACTATAACAAGGAATAGCTTGCTATCTACTCATTAACTGCATGTGCGACCTTGGAAGTTTCAAAGCTGCACTCAGGTTTTTGGCCTGTTGCTGTAGCAAATTGAATATAACCAACTTACATTAAAGTAAGTTTTGTAAAGACTGATGTGTATACGCTGTGAAACCTCTTTGCGAACATTACGATGAGTAAATTATAAAGTATTCATTACACTAAATTGAAAGGTCCATATCGTGTCCTGAGTCGACGGCTAAAACAGAGTCAGAGGTTGAAAGCAGTACTATTTGTGGGTGCGACACTGCAATGTGGACAAAAGCTTCAATAACCCACATTATGCGCTCAGAACTGTGCCCGTGGACATACGCTGACTGCAGAAGTAAAATATTTGTTCTTCCACTCACAGGCCACATGAAAACGCTGGTTTATTGACCCTATCACAACAAGCTCAAATCCAGGGGAGGGTGCAATGATGCAACAAGGGTTTTCCATGTTTCCTACAGCGGCAATTAACCAACGAGGCAATCAAAAAACTGGATGTTATGACGCTTGTTTACAGGGGAAAGCCTCACCAAGTTCTCATAATACAGGCCACTGAATGCTATTTATATTCCAATTGAGTCATTTGCGGGTCTATTTTATTTTTTGGCAAATTTGGAACAAGACGCCAGCACACAATGGTCTCCTCTTGTGAATGACGTCACGGGATATTTAACGTCCTGTGTCAAGAAGACGGCGCGTATTCTTACGGTTAATACACTCGTAGAATTATTCAAGGCGGCGGCTTGATTTCAAACCGCGAAACTCTGCAACAAGCGCGACAGGTGAACATGCTATCTCGAGGGAAAGTCAATCCCAACAGGCCATGTGACTCAACTATTGTAACTATGCCTTTCACCGATTATTGGTTCATAATCATGCACCTTGACAAAGCAGTCAGTAATTGCACTGACGGAATTAGGTGTTGTCCTTTTCACCCACCTCTGATTATCACGGTTGGCTACGTACAGTGCAACAGAAGTTCAACATACATATGTATCTTAGGTAAAAAGGTGCATGGTTACCTGAGGTTTTGATGCTGTATAGCCACTTTAACCGTCATCTCTTCCTGTAGGCTGTCATCCTGTGCCCACACCTGAGTAAGATGCCACATGATGCAATCCAAACTGAAAGACTAAACATTGCAGTGCCTCTCCGATGTGGTTTTGGGTTGTGGCATGTGTTGTTCAGCATGTCTGCCGTTTCACTCCATGTGCTGGAAGCGTCTTAAGTATATGCCAAACAACAAGCGTTGCAACCCAAAAACACATCTGAGAGCTATAGAGCACAACTATGACCACCTACGCAGTAGTAGAACTGCAGTGATTGCAACACTCACGTTACTTGTGTTTTTTTAAACAAATTTATTTCAAGCACAAATACTCACATTAACCAATAACACTGCATTAAAAAGATAATATATAGTTGGTAAAGTTTGTTTTGCAATGGCCCGACTTTGTAACACATAGATCTTCATAACATATAGATTTAAGCTATGAGGAATTACTACTTGAAAGGTGCCCTATTATACCCATTCCTTTTAAAGCCATGCCATTGGCAAATGTGTTGAGTTTTTGTTCTTTGTGCTTGTGCATCAACTGTACCAGTCACTAAATAATTGGTTTAAAGTGCAGGTTGTTCATAGTTGATACATTAAAATTTTCTCATATCCTAAAGAAAACAGCCATTGTGAACTGCTTATTAACATCAGAAAATGCGAGTGCTTGTATGCAAATTTAACACTGGTTGAGGAACGATACATACCATTGGGAATAAGATGTAGTCTCTAAGAAATTCTTGTGATTGGTACTGGTCATAGTCGCCAAAATCAGCTAGGGAGAAAGGATATATATTCACATCATAATAGGGAAATTAAAGTATTAAAGTATGTACAGCCTTACTGCAGGTGATAACATTCTCAAACAAGAACAGTATTAACAATGACAAATATAACTGGAAATCAAGTGAAGAATAAAAATGCATTTACAATTCAAATACAATACTGTAAAATCATAACGCTGTTGCTGAATATGAAACAACAATTTATAACTCATTGTCTGGTCATGAAAAAGAACCTAAGATTTGGGCCCTCATGTACACCAATTAAAAAATACATGTTCCACATCATCAACTCTCTATACTTCTGGCCCAGAGGGAGACTAAAGGCATATGGGAAAACATTGTGTTAACCCTAGACAAGACGTTGGTGGATCGAGAGCTGTTGGATACTGGAGGCCACCTCCAATTTGCACGGTTGGCTATGTACGGTGCGAAAGAAGTTAAACATACATACATGGATTAGTTGCGATGATCATGGGGGCTGCTTGACAGATTTGTTAAAAGGAGCACACTGTCTCACCTCTCACCGAGTACCTGACTGGCATCTGTGCCCATATCCAGTATAGCTACTCAGGCCTACAAATTCTTCAATGTTCATCGCCAAGTCAAGGCAGTGCCCCGTTGAACAAGTGCACACTAATAACAATCGATTAACAGAAGGCAACAATGATTTAATTTACCTATATTCAATTCTAAGAGCGCTGGAGTTGTATTTAGAGCCAAAGAGAAAAAACACAATGCTTTGGTATATAAGCAATGGCTTAAGATAGCCTGGATTAGATTCGATTTAAATTACATTCATTACTGGCTTACCCTGCACGGCGAGACTGGCCAGCCGTACACTCTGTTCCACGCTGCATGGCAGCTTTCCTTCAATAATGTCCTTCTTCAGCTGGAGGTAATATTGGTATCTGTAAGCAATCAATAATACAATAAGATGTTACTGCAATTTCTCCAAGATGTATCTGTGTGTGTGCATAAGTTTTACGAAATACAGGGATGGTATTATTGTAATGCCTTTCTTGAAGCCAGACTCTTTCATAGTGGGAGAATACAAAAAGGGTAGAGTTTCGTTTGGAGGACCATTGGACCCAGCTCTGGAATTTGCACTGGGCACAGTATATGCTTGGTAGGCCTGGTTGGTAATACGTATGTGCCAGTCTCATGAAGAGCAATATTTAAATATAATTCAAATCTACAACAATGTGGTAAGGGTGATGGATCACAAAACCCACAAATTAGGCTGTGAGATGGCCAGATAGCAGGGAAGTAAAACGATTAATGAACACTTCTGCATTGATGTGTCAATGGTATTGCCTTTAGCAATTGTTTTGTACTATAGGTTTCATAATTTAAACTGTCCACAATACAAAATGGCCAAACATCCATACAGGGCCCTCCTGATGGTCATAAAAATCAATTCAGCTTATACGTCTAAACAAATCACATTAACATCTAATGCAGTACTCTAACACAACTGCAGGTTGTTGGTTAATGACAAAAATATAAACCAAAAACAAATTTTAAAAAGCTCAAAATACATTTTCATGTCCCACAAAAAAGAAAAAAGTTACAGAATAATGTAAAGGCTTGTAAGATGAATAAACATTTTCACTGTGTTGATCTGTCAAACAAGTTCTGAGGAAGTGGTTGTCCTGGGAAATGCTTCACACACGCACACGGGTGTAGCTTTGACTCATTGCCATTACTGTCACAACAGTGCTGTTTGCATTATCGTGAATTTTTTTCATGCCATCAGTGGGCTAAGATTTTTGGTCTTCTTACCTGTGGCCAACATAAACCACAGTATAATGGCTCTGAGTGAACCAGTCAGGCATTACAGTCAGGAAGGGGAGCATACACCAATAATCAAGAACTACAGAGACGAGGGTTGGTGGATGACAGACTTGTAAAACTCCTAACCCTGCCGGGCTGAGGAAATAGCAGTACAGGAAATGGGTTGTGAACCCATCCGTGTGGACTTTGAAGAGAAATTCCCTCATGTGTGGATTTATGCATGTACTCGAATAAACTCTCAGATGAAAAATAGTTGTTTAAAAATAATATGCGAAACATCTCAATGCATGTCCTTTCCAGAGACAAGTCTCAAGACTTAAAGAGGCTTCCCTGGATAAATAAACAAATGATTGTATGACTAATTATATACCTCAGATTTAGAACACAAACTAGGCATTCAAAACCCCCCTCCAATAACAGCAAATAATTAAACTAATGGCTTCAAGCTGCTTTCAGCTTACTGGATTTTCTCTAATCTGAAAAAGGGCATTTAAACAAGAAAACAACCCATACTTTCATGGTTGCTTCAAACATTTTTGGGGTAGTCAATGCGAAAGCATAGAATCCCCTCTTGCTGCCAACAGCACATCCCTCTGAGAAAAATTATGTGAAGCTGGTTGCTTGGTCTCCATCTCCATTCCAGCATCCAGCAACTGTGACGCATTCCATTCCTTGTGTGCGTTTCCGTGTTGGTCCACAACGTTAAGGTTTCCTGACCAGTTGCCAACTTTGCAGCCTATTGACAATCTTTAGGACATGTTGTTGCAATGGTCTTGCATCCAATACAACTACAATTTTGTTACGGACAATAGTTCTCAAGCTCAGATTGATCAACCAGGCTAGGCACTTTCTAATGTACCCCTTGATCTTTAACAATTTCTCAACAACAAAAAATATCATCTTGCTAACCACAGCAGGGTTTTTTTTTTAAACAGATGTTGCATCCTTCTGGAAGATAGAAGAGAGTCCAAATTTAAGGCTTTCATGGTGCGAAATATTTCTATAACAGAGGTGATTTTTAGTTCCTGACATTCAACTCCCTGTGCTTATGGGTCTACTTTGAGGAGCACACTGCATGCCATCCTAGGCTTATTTAAAAGTTTTATAAAGTGACTTCTCAGTATTTCTAAAGATATACTGTGAGCAAATGTATCAGATTGTAATTATCACTGGCTATTACTATTAATTACCACAGCATACTACATTCCAGATAATTATAATATAGTCTATATAAGTTTACACGGGCTGCCTTTAAAAATAGAGGGCCCTTAATGTCTTATAAGGACAGATATCTTTGAAAGCATACCTTTAGTCAAGCTATTCACTTTCATATTCTTGGTTCTTTCGGTAAAGTCACGTAGAAGGGAAACAATAAAATAATAAAAATATAAAACAATTAAATTCTCACGACGTTTCGACTGCAACACAAGCAATCATCATCAGGTGTGGTTTTATTGTTTTATATTTTTATTATTTTGTTTCCCGTCTACGTGACTTTACCGAAAGAACCTAGAATAGAAATCCCTGCAGTCACGAAAGCTTTAAATAAAAATTCTATTAACTTTCCTAAAACAAAGTTTACTTAACATGTGCAGCACAAATAAAGTCAGAGACAACAGATGCAGTGCAGTATTCGTTATTTTTCAGAGTAGTATTTCCTGTTAGCAAGCACATTCAACATGAGCGTTGCTTATTTCCAACAATTTACAAGTGCAGCACTTTGTGATGGGTGCATGACAGTGGCATTCCATCTCCAATAATACCCCTGCTCACAAGCGCTTTTCTTAGAGGAGCTGCCACATGTGCTTCCAGCAAGCATTGTCACATCTAACCCCTGATTGTGATCCGAGTACACAACCAATCCAAAGGCAGGGTCAACGTGATGCTCAGGCATGCAATGCTACCCCTTGCATTTTCTGAATCCCTTAATTTGAATGTCCAGCTATCCTAACGTAACTGGTGTAAACGCCAGGTGTGCTATGTTCATAGCAAAGCCAATGTCTTTAGGGCAAGGCAGACCAGAGGGCCCCACATTACTCCCTAAGCACAGCTTAATTGGATTACACGTTAATGCAATTGCCATATTGAATTCCATTCGTGCAGAGTTGCATGAAGCCAAATGCAGGCTGGGATAAAAAAATATATTATTAAAAACTATGCTTTGTGTGATGTGGAAAGCATTGTCTTTACACATGCAAGTATTTTCTTTATATGGAACCAACAATGGAGGATTTGAACCCGTCACATGTAAAGTGCGGCAGTAATCGGTGATACATATCCTTATTTAACTGTCTATAAGTTCAAGTACGGTAAATGCAATTTAGGATAGCAAGAACACTACTGACTTTAATAGCCCAATTTTTTTTTATTTGCTGACAAATGAAATACAAAGTATGTACAACTGCAACTAATATAGTTTAAGTTGGCCATAACGGATAAGTTATTGGTATTTCTATTAAGCATCGGGCCAGAATGATTCATTCTCCTGGTGATGCAGCAATGCATGGCATCAATAGTATAAATTGTTCATATTTTTTACCATTATGTTGAATGTGATCGAATTACTTATGCACATTTTTGAAGTTTAACACGTAGGCTTTCGCGTCCAATATCATCCATAAAAAACACATTTTAGAACTTGATAAAAGCATTAATCATAATTCTTGAAAATAAACTAATTTCAATTGTATCGAGTTGAGGTGAGAATTAACAAGTGCTTCTTCTTTGTATACCGCCTCGTTTGCACCACCTTGTCATGCACCGACTGGTCTGGACTAAGCCTTTTTTACTCCGTTTCCTCTTTCACACCGTATTTTTGCGTACTTTTATCTGTACCGTATTGTTTCTTTAAAGTACTGTATGTACAAACTGTCTCATCTTCCCTTGTACCGTCCTCTGTTATTCTCTCTTTATGTATGGTCTCATCAATACTATATTTTATTTTAAATTTGACATTCGACCACATCGTATTCTGTCGTGTTGTATCCATCTCATTGTCTCCATGACATCGCAGGTGTGCCGCCTGTACTGTGCTGGTCCACCGTTCAGTATCAACGTAACACTGGAGCATCATTTAACAAATTCTGCATATAATTCTGCATATAATTTAGATAATGGAAGAGGACAAGCAATTAATGCATGCATAATTTGGGTCTAAAATATATTTTTATCCATCCATGTTCTGGTCCTTTGAGGAATGTAACAATTCACTTCCAGTAGAAATAGATTCTTATTGTGAATTCTCTCTCCCCCCTCCTCACCCTCAAACCAGCGATCGGCAATTAAAAACAAATATTACCTCAATGTTTTGCATATTATTTGTAGTGTTTAATTATTTCTAGATTTGAAGCTTTCGTGACTGTAGGAATCCACTCACCTATGTGACTTTACCTAAAGAACCAGAGTATGTTTAATTCTTGTCAAATTTGTAGTTTTGTTCACTCAATTAGCCACAATGTATACTTTGCATATATATGTATATTATTCAAATAATAATTTGACATTTGGTCTATACTTTTGATGTATGCATCATTACACATCTAATTATAGCAAAAACAAATGTAGGCAAACTAGAGGTTGGCAAAAACAAATACTATACTCCTTGAGCACAGGTTTACTCGACCACAATTAATTTAAGCTTCCACAATGATATTGCACGAGTCTTGTAAAAACGCTCGTCCTAAGTTTATGCATAGTTTCTTCCCCATTTTAAAATTTGGATGTAAAACTACGATGGTTCAATGTGCAGGCTTTTATGATAACAAAAAAAGAGTCCTATTTCAAAAAGTATCTGCTATCGTAAGTCCACATTGTATAATCAAAAGGTAGCCTTGTTCCATTAGCCAGATACCTACAGCCAGGTCTTAATTTCAGCTGGGTCTGTCCAGATCGGTCACATGGGAATTATCTACAACCGACACAGCACATCCAAGAAAACCCCTAGCTAGTCACGTGCCTACTCCAGTCTACTGCCAAATGGGAAAAAAAAATATTCCGTTTAGAAACTAATCCCTTGCTAAAGCAGGATTGCACCCCAGAGAAAGGGTGCACTTTTAATGGGGCCTCTCCATCCATCATCACTGTATTACCTGCCGGCAAAGCCTCAAATAGAATACCTTGCTCGTCAGCTTGAGCAGCCATGCACACAACACATCGTTCACATTCCCGGCCTTTCATTCGGCCCCAGGCTGCTTTTTTGTTTTAAACAGGGCAAGCCATGAATGTTTCAGCAGATCATAGCATCCAATCATCTGATGAAAATAGGCCAACCCCTGCATAGTGCCTAAATAATAATAATAAACTCCACGTGCCAGTTTCAAGGGGATTGGCATGTGAACCATGTATCTTGCAGGAGCATGCACCAAGTTGAAGGATTATGCTTCAAACATGTGGATTTGTGTTTTGCTTTCTCGTGCTGATTTTAATAACGCTATACACTTTAAGGTGGCAGTAAACGGAAAGGCTATCTGAAGGTGCGTGGTATGTCAACAACTGCAGGAGAGGCTTTCATGTTAACATCAAGATGCTCTTTGTTGATGCTGGTTGAAAGATGTGACTTTACACAACCTTCTTCACAGCTATTTTTTACAAATGCATGAAATACACATTTTTCTGTTTCATGTTTTACGATTTGAAGCCATAAAGTATCATTATGATAAGGGAACGCAACTCCATATCTTCAGGTAAAATCATGTTTTTGACATTTTTGTACTAAAACACGATTGGCAGTAATTTCTTAACAAGTGGAACACTACTCTTTAGTAACTAAAATATTTGCCTAAACAATTAGTTAATTTGAACATTATAAAATGTCTTTTATATTAACTTAAAGACAACAATCCAGTGTCACATTTTTGATGCATAGCCAATAGTGTGATTGAAAACACTATGGAAACATGCCATTATTATGAAAATGAAAGATACCATTATTATGAAAATGAAACATGCCATTATTATGAAAATGTAACATGCCATTATGAAAATGTAACATGCCATTAATATGAAAATGTACGGTCCATTTCAGCATGTGGAATGTTACTTTTTAAAGTCAGCTTCAAGTAATTTAATTGTGGCTGCTCAGTGTTCAGGAAGTCATTGGAATGTTTAAACAATGTTTTAAGAGTAAACACATTCCATACGGAGCCTTTTATTATAACAGACTTATTATAATCCAGACAATTCGGTTTTCCTGTGGCTTTTATAATATATTTAAATATTCACAGGCAATAAAAAACACACTGGATGGGTAGCTGCATGTGACAAATGTTGTGTTAAATATCATCTACATTTTTAAAGTTCACAGATCTGACCGAATATACATTTTTTTTGTATGGATTAAAATGTTACGTCAAAGTGATGACGATTACAAATGGGGCAGAGAATCTAGCACCTACTAATTCCAATGACTCATGACATGACTCAGTTTTAACTGCATAACAGATACTGAAAAAGGTTGGTGAAAACGCACCTGGAAATACTTGAATTGTTCATCCGTTCACTCAGTCAAAATATCACACTCATTTGCAACTATGGGAAGGAGCAGAGGGCACCTATAAACTAAATATTTGCATTCCAAAGGTTAACAAGACAAGTTTACTCCCTGTAATATTTAGGGTTAAATGAGGTCATGCCAGCCAACCCACCAAAACATTCTCATTGCACACTTTCGGTACCAGTCAAAGCTTCAAAGAATTTGCTTGTAAATGTTTGCACAATAACACACCTAAACAAAATCTGGGCAGAGCAATGTAGTAAAAATACCTTGAAAAAAAATAAATATACAAGATTGAAAACCAAAACGTGCATATAAGCATGCAAGTTTAACATGCTGACCTCTGACCACCAACGATGAGCCTATAGAAACAGATCCTGTATTGAATTAATTACATCAACAATTATGAAGTTGGATTCTGACTATATCACAGTCCCCAAGGTATGTGTAAACTAAATGCTTTTTTTTCACCTATAACAAAGACCTCTTGTCAAAAGATATTATAACCACTAAAGATATTCCGTATAGCCTGTAACAGACTGTTGGGGCAAGTAATGTTAGCGTACACCTATGAAGGCCGGCACGGCACGCGAGGGGGAAGGTGGCCAGCACCACGGCTTTGTCTCCCCAGTGGCAATGTTTACACACCGCACCAGGTACTAATTTGAGGCCGATTCCACCTAGGGGAGGCCCAGGACAGGTTCAGATAATCGTCACTGGTATAGGCAGTGAGTGGGCTCGTAGCGCAGCACGCAAACCGCTACACTATGGCACATGCATGTTATTATAAACACCTCACAAACACTTCACATATATATACACACACACGCCCGTCCACTTTCATTTCACACAGGTGATTGTTGCTACTTCTCTCCCTTGGAAACGGGTTCGGGGGGGGCAGAAACTTATAAACAATAATTCTGCTGGGAGCAGATGAGTGATGGAAGAGATGGATTCGCAGCTGCTGCTGCAGGGCAGCCGCAGACATTCCAGGCCAGCGAGCACGGTGGGCTCCAGCAGACAAGCACGTCAGGCACCCGCGCAGCAGGAATAGCACGAGAGGCATGCGAGCGGCTCGCCTGACCATGGCCATCATGCTGCTCTTTAAAAAGTGTGTGCCAAACATTCACGAAATGCACTGCGCTTACTTTATAAGGCGAACAAATATTGCAATAATAAACCCGGAGGCATCTTTAGCTCTTTGGTTTGGGTGGCTCACATGAAGAGTAGAGTGGCTCGCAATCAGAAGGTTGCATATTCAAACCCTCTACTTGGTGGGGGGGGGTTGACTGAACCCATCATCCCTTCGGGGTCGACAAAATCAGTACAACTTTGTGGGAAAGGCAACAGTGGTTTGGCCCCTGACATACGAATATGGAATTTCCATCAATAAATTACTTTGACCTGACAGGACCCTTGGGTTAGAGGTGGGTAACATTACGCATGGACGTGGTAAGCAATGCATTTTACGGTAACAAGAAGTGGGAGACATACCAATATTTTTTTCTCATACTGAACAGGCCAAGGGATGCGGCACACATCTGTTTCTAGTATGGATTATTCAATAAGCCAAATGCAGAATACGCTAGACCACCCACAAAAATGATGAACCGTTTCATACGTTGAATATGTCACAACACAATCTGTCTTCATGGCAGACATAACTGAATCTAAAAGAAGGGCTATGGGACCAATTAACCACTCCACATACAGGAAAAAATGGGGTGTGGGAGTCTGGGGTGGGAGTAAAGACCACATGAGCAAACACAGTTCACTGCACAAGCAGACTTGCACTTTGTACTGATGGCATGTCAAGTTATTGTTGACCACAATTTATTATGTTGCATCTCAGAATATTTAAAATCCTTTGTGGAATGGTGTGTTCTTGGCTACTGTGTCTTTAGCCTTCTCTGTATTTTTGGAATTAGACCCGCTTTAGCACTCTGTTACTTTATTTTTAATTGTTTGCATTCGACACCACATTCACATCCCGAAACATTCAATCATTCTTCTGAATATCCATGTCGCAGCCAAATATGACACTACACTCCAAATTTGGATCTTTATGAATCTCTCCTTTAATTTGTGCTCATATGTCTTCACAGCATCAACTTGTTTTTGTTTAAATCAAGCTTTTTCCATTATATCGTAATGCTAATCTCCTTAAATCAACTGTTATCTTCTTTCACAGTATTTGGCAGATAATTCTACTGTGTCGCTTACCAGCGCAGTATTTCACTTATTTCCACCTTGCTGTGTGGTTTTAATTAATTAAATGTTCTGTACATTGATTCTCATTCCAAAATCACTTTCCACTTTGTTCACATTTCCAATGAGCTACTCCTGTAGGCCCCTCTTCAAAACTGGCCAGAAGGGCTTTGTCATCACAACGGATGGCTAACTTGACCCTTTGGCCTCCACCTTCCATTATTTTTCTCCCGCTTCTTCAAATATTCCCTCCCTCATTCCCTCCACACAGATGTTAAGAGTAGCGGGCATACATAGTGAGCATTCTTATGTTACTTATATTTCCACAATTCTTGGTTGTGACTCTCTGTGACTCATTACTGCTGTCTCAACACATGCACAATGACTCGATCAGCTGTCTGCCCCATCCAGTCTGCTCCTATGCTCTTGAGCACCTCCAGTAACTTTGGGTGTAGTGGAGAATGTATGTGGTAGTTTGACTAAAAATATTACTCCAATTATCTGAAAAGTTCATAGCATATTCACTGGGGTTACTTGTTGATACAGTTTCTTATAAACATGCATTCTAAACTATTCTAGATATCGGTCTTTTGTCCAATAGTCTAAAATGACTATAAAAAAGGAAAAGAATTACTTTAGGGTAACTTACATTACATGGATTTTCTTATATTACTGTATTGGTATTTTTCACGTAAAAAAATCTGGCTCCAAGTATAAGAACATACAGGTTTACATATACTATGGCTGCTCCAGTGAGATATTTCAGCACCTTGTGACCTCCGGGTGAAAGGTGCTTTAGAAGTGTAAATTATTATTATTCTTCCCGATCAATAACAATTCATTAGAGGGACAATGGTTGAATCTCAAATTAATATTTAGGTCGATGTTTTTTCCCCAGAAAACACCCCTTCGTGGTTGGAGACAAGCTTTTGCATACCTCTAGCCATGTGTAAATGGCAGAAAGGACCCAAACACAAGGGCATACCTGGTGACCTCTTGCTGCAGTTGGATCTCGCTGGGTACATAGAACAGAACTCCAAAGTGCAGCAAAGCCTCCTGGGCAAACTTGTCCAGCTGCTTCCGAAGAGGCTTCTCCAAGTCGACCCATCGCAACTGCTGCTGTTTGTTGGAATACCACAAGCCAAAGTGTGCCAGCTGTGGAGAAACACATGTTATACACTTCAGCATGCAACTAATAATATAACACGTAGGCTTTCACGACCAATATTATCCGTAATACAGGTTGTTTATTGAAGATCGTGTAAATATAAATGTGTCGTTAAGCCCACCACCCGACACAACCAATGAGTAAGGTTTGTCACGTATACAAAACATGCCACTTCGCATCTACTGATGCTTGAGAGAATATATGCTCAACACGTGACCGAACCTTCAAGACCACACTTGCACCATCATATCTTTACTCAGGAGTCTTGCCATGTATATCTTATCTGCTTTGGAACCAAGAAAAACCCCAACAATCTCTCGGGACTTCCTTACCACCCTTTCCTGTGCTTGGCCCGTGCCCGCAGACGGAATATTTTCTGAATATAATCCAAACAGTCTGAGTAAGGCGTACTCAGTGGGACACAATTACCTTAAGTGTAAACAAAGCTGTCTCATAAAACATAATAAAGTTATCAGATTCTTAGCTCTTTGGTAAAGTCACGTTGAAGGGAAACAATAAAATAATAAAACATATAAAACAATAAAAATTCTCACGACGTTTCGACCATAACACAAACGGTCGTCATCAGGTGTGTCGGTTTGCATTAATTAAGTTATCAGGCTCATTTAAAATAAAGGAAATCCAGGGTTATTTTACAAAGGTAACATGACGGAAGGGCACGAACATTACATAGCATAGCCACAGATGCCTTCACAACCCTTGACTTTGCTAATGAACTTTAACAATACTCTTGGTACACTAGTTCATGGTCCGTATATTATCATTACTAAATTTGTTTCATATTAATTATCTATGTTGGTTGACAATAAATAAGTATTACATGGCAGAAAAGAACAAGAGGAAATGTTGGATATCATTAAGGAACTCTAGCGAGAGTTATATACATTTTTGGTGATTTTAGAAAAAAATTCAAGGGGAAACGCATTGATTTTGTTCAGTATCCCAATAGTAACACTAATCTCCATGCCGATATTGTTTCCACATGAAACCATAATACGCCAATTCCCATCACCGACCATAAATATTTAATCGGGATATAAAATGTATATTTACAGCAATGTTTCAGCAAAAACACCAATTTGTAGGAAGACTTTCTTCAATTCTGTTTTCATGCCTGATCTTTCAAACAAAATGCACTGTCATGAACATAGATAAATACACTGCAATAATCAAGAAACCTCTGCAAAAGTGGAACGCATTACTAATACACCAAACAAGATTTGGGGTGCCGATTATATGTAAATGGAAAGTTTATTGGCAGGCCGGGAAATCCCACCACAGGAAAATATCCATTAGAGACTTCCATGGATATTTGTGAGCTTGGCCGGATGCTCCGCTAGTCTGTGGGATGGGTGGGGCACATTCCCTCTCCCAACTCAATCGCCCAGAGATGCCCAAACTTTAGCTCGTCACGTACCCCCTACCAGATATATTAACCCAGACCTATCAAAGGTCTGTGTACCCCTACCAGCATATAGGCCTCGATTTAATTTCATCTTAATTACATTTACATGTAATTTACAGCTCAAATATTTAGTTAACACTTAATAACATTAATATTGAAATAAACATTAACTATTTAATATCTACAGAGGAAGGCCACACAGCATAATTACATCATGGGATAACCAATCTCACACAGAGAAAAAAAGACCCCCCATGCAGCCTACACAGTATGTTGGGGCAAGTGCTGCAGGCCTATTCCTATGAAGGTTGGCACAACCCACGAGGGGGCCAGCATTAAGCCCTGCTGTTTTTGTCTCCCGAGTGCTAATGTATACACACCACATTCAGAAGGAACCATCAACCAAGACCTGAAGAATGTACCTCCTGATTCCCCTTCTGGGATTGTGCTGTCACCATCCAGAATAAACACCTCATTCGAGAACCAACCATCCGCATCTCCTGGCTTTGACATTCCTCACACTTTTCTACCATCAAACGCATCAGAACATCAACACGCCTTAAAAAATGAAAAAGTAAAGAATAGCCAGTGTGGCTGTGGAAATAAAACCCAAACTATGGACTACATAGTAAATAAACCACTGCAGTCTAAGCTCCTTCAATTGAGACCTGTCATGGCTAGAAGACATTGGCATTTAGCTCCTGAATATATTGCCATATGCAAGAATATAATCTGGAGCTCATTTAAGGCTGAGTTACCCTAGGGGAGGCCAAGGACCTGGTTCACACATCACTCACCTTTGAAGTTAGCCATTGCTGGGAATAAAATCTTCGGAATCATAGCACAAAGACAAAAAGCCAAACACACACACCTAGACATGTGTATAGGCTTTTGTGTTTGCTCGCCTATGGCTGGCCACAGGTGCTGGACAACGCCTGTCTATGGGCAGCCCTGAGTCAGAAATGGAATTTACGCATCCTCATGGCGAATAAGTCTTGCCACGGCAGAGTTAGCACCAACACTGCAGTTGATGCCGATGGCAAATCCATTATGAAGATGACAATGAGGAAAACTATGTTTTGTGAATAAACTAACTGTTGAAGCTCCTTAATAGGCAGTTCAAAGAACCCACTGGCAGGCATTAGCAGTTATCTGAATAAAGCTTCTGTTCAAACAAGAGATAAGCCATCATGTTTAAAAACAAGAAACTTAGCTTGACCTTCGGTACACAGAAAACCTAAAATCCTTATTTTTAAATTATGTGACATTGTTGTCTCCCATCTATTGACATTCCTGACATTCTTTTCCAAGGAAAAATGCAGCCAAAGCCTGCACTGACATACCAGCCTAGATGCGAATCACACCTTTACCCTTTGCAATCGCACACATCTCCACGAGATTTCAAATTATTATCCAAAATTATTATACAAAACCTGTCCATGGAATTGTTTCTGCAGTCGAGGATGGTATGCATTTTACCTGTACTTTTGTCTGAACACCAATGCCCTTTAATATTACTGCACTATTTCCTGGCCTTTATTAATTCCAGGGTAATTAACACCGATGTGACAGCCCTAGCTGAGAATACATACCTGTTATCCTGTTTTGGAGGGCCTGAAAATGATGGGATAGATTGAGAACTGGAACACTGTTCCATTGCCAATGTATTTTCTGGTATTGCTAATTTCTCCATCACCCCATTGTTCTTTCCTTTGGTTAAAAAGGACAGCAAAGGGGAAAGCAATTCTATTTTACCATATGCTGAAGCAATACAGCAATATATGTAGCCCCTATATGCTCCCGAACATAAAGACAGTAATATGATTTAATTAACTTGTGAAAAAGGGTGCAGAGTCCCATTCGTTTCAAAAGGCATCAAAACAAGATTACTTGGGATAAGAGATTAATTTAAAATCTCTTTAAAATAGTATGCTATGCTGTTTGGTAGGCTGCTTAGTGTGGTATGTACTTTGACATGTAATTCTGAGAAAATTTTACTAAATCCCATGAAATTTAAATAAAGGAGATCCTGTGCAGCTATCATGAACCTAATCTTGATTTTAATCCTTGCACCAAGAGCAGTGATGCATTGCATGACCAGATAGTGAGATTTGCACATACTTGAAGCATGTGTGTTTAGCAAGTTGATATACATCACTAGATCTGCTAAAGCCAGTTAGGTTGGAAGTCAGTCTGCATTCTTGAAGGTTGCACGAATTAAGTAAATAACATTACAATAGTTGGTTGCATGATATACATAATGGTGCATTATCAAGTACTCTTGAGCAAAGCTTGTTTGTCATGAGTACCACTTAATTTCCCTTCCAAAACCAAAGAGGAGTAACTTCTGTCGTTTGTGCTTCAAATCATTGTTCAGACGGTGGACAAAATAAAGCAAGTGACAGACCTTTACATTTTGTTTCAAAAACCCACACTTGCAACAACATCTCATGGGATAGAGATTCTTAGAATTCTTTGGAAGTGGTGATATTCTTAATTACTGACAATGCTTTCCTTCAGCCTTAACGATAACACAAAGCTGATGGCTCATTTACATTATGGGAATTTCCTGGAGTAATGAACCTCTTTAAATTACCTGATGCATATTTAGCTCAAAGTTATAAAAATAATGTAAATAATGGTAATGGCCACGTTTGTATAAAAATAGAGTTACTGTATATATTTCCATGAGTTATATCCATCAGCGATTATATATTATTCATAAGCAGTCATTTAGCTTAAGAATTATAAATTTACTAACGAAACATTTAGACGTTAAATGCACCTAATAGGTCAATATATTATATTAATTACCACATTTATGAATGATGTTATAGCAGGTGGTACGCACTGAATAAAAACTTTATTAATTCGGTACATTGCTTATTTACTTTTCATTAATGATTAAACATAAGGCAGCCCTGCTTCTGGTCAAAATCATTGAGTTAAATGCCACCAAATCCAGAGCACTAAGCAGCGGCTCACCATGGCATCACAAGCTCTCAAACTACCCATCGTTGGCTCTTCCCTGCATCTGCCTAACCACCAGATAATTCTGGATGCTGCCCTGGATTCAACCCTCTCAGGGGATAATCATATACTAAACACAGGGAAGATGTGCAATCATCACATTAGTATTAAGGCACTTCCAAACCAATGCTGACAGCTGCCACAGCAAACACTATGGCATGTAGCATCATAGGCTCTCGTCTGGACTATTGCAATGCCATCATTTTCTCTTCATCAGGAAAAAAATATTTGCAGTTAATCCAATATAACCTGTCCACGTGCCATCAAAGGCATCAGGCGTCGCCACATGGGCTCCATAACTGTGATAAAAAAAAGCCTTGCACTGGCTTCCTTTTACATCCAGAGTCGTGTACAAGATTGTCACTCGGTCATCATATTTAAAGGTCAACATCCATATCTCTTCACGCTCCTTAAACATTTGACCATGAAGAAGCGCCACGTTCTTTGGAGCACATCCCAAGATTTGCTGATTGGCCCCAGAAACAGGACGATCCTGGCAGAGCAGTGCTTCTCCGTGGTTGCTCAGATAATATGCAACTCTCTCCCACTACACCTACAAAGCATATTTATTCAGGCCTTGCTTTGAAAATCTTGGATAACTGCACCAATTTCTACTGAATTAAATACATTTTCAAAGTCGACGGAAAGCTATGCATAACTGTATTTGATATGCATCATATTTTTTTCCAAAATCTGATTCGATAGTAGGTTGTATGGTGGATAGCAAGATTTTTTTCACCTAAATCCAACTTGTTAACATGGTTAGCTAGTCTAAAAATATCCCATTATTCTATTCCAGTTAACTTAGTCAACAACTTATATCCATGTGAGCAAGCTAAATTGTATAAATACAAAGTCATATTATCTGCATAAATCGTACATAATCGATTTTAACATGCACTATTCAATGCCTGTATCGTGACCATATCCAATTTAACCTGTAGACACCATAATGGGAAATTATCAATAGTTACTCAAACTGTAAATTAGAAAAACTATAAAACCATATACTTTGACACCAAACATTATTCTGGTTATACTTTTTAAAAGAAAAACACATAAATAAAAACTGTTAATTGCATCCACATTTTACAAGAAAAATACTTTAAGCAAAGCAAATAGCATTCGTGGGAACACCCCCAAGATTACAATGTGCTACGGCTTTACTGAATGGCTTGAATTTTACTGGCACATAATAAGCATTCATAGATGAAATGCAGGTGCACATTTACTGTCCGACCCTTAAAAACGCATGCTGGCAGCCTTTGCTTTTAAATGGTTTTCATGATGGAATGAGTGGTTTAACTCTTATAGGTCTAGATGACCAAGTGTGATTACAATCGGTCTAAAAGGTTCTAATTTGTCTCATTTGGCAGTTGCCTTGGACAACAGGTGTGTCGTGCACAGAGAAAAGTTTGAGGCTGTCATAAATCAGCATCCTTGGCTACTATCCTCGGCAAAGAGTCTAGCGGCAAACTCTATTACATGCTAGAACTGAAGTTAAACAACTAAGGCTTAGCATATGATATGAAGTAAAAAATTCCATTTCTGTCAGTTTCGGTATTGATGTTCCAAAGAACGCACAAAATCAGAACTTGATTCAATAAAAACCAAGATAAAAAGTATAATGCACAAATTGACTATATAAATATACCACCTACTTGTAAGAAAAATTGTACTTTTCAACACATAACAGTACAGAACCATTTATATTAGATAATATTAAAAATAAACTTATTTGCAGCAGTTTATCAGTGTTATTTATTTCCCCAGTCGCACTGAAGTGCACAATTACATTTTGAGAGGTACCTTAGCAACAAAAGGAATTTGGAATTGGGAAAAACAACTATCAGTTTAGCATGCCAATTGTAGGCTGTTCCGAAACCAGAGCACCTGAAGCAATTCTCTCTTGGCTTCCAGATCAAGCTAAATAAATAAGCACGACTACATGTGGCAACACCTGGAATCAATGCGCAGGTGGAGCTCTTCCCCAGCCAGCATCTTCATGTGAACGTTTTACAAGATCAATCAGAAATGAGAGATATGCTGCAGCAAGTGTAGTTGACAATGTAACAGATTCTAGAATGAAATGTTGTCATTTAGAAAATATGACGTTCACGAGCTGACTTTTTTATGCATTGATTTAGCTACATTCTTGTGTAAAACGAACTATAACAATTTTTATGAGTGCTCTAAAAACGAGTGAACAAAATGGACTGTTACATTTCTTCTGAAGAATGTTTGTTCTGGAGGTAGTCCTTGTTTCTACCCCAAAGTAACCAATACAGCATGCAATAGTTTCTTGTTGAGCTCCGTGTTTTTATGAGAATCAAATGTAGAACATATCAAAGATTACTATTATGATTGGTGTGCATATGTGAAAGCATTACTTGTGAAACAACTTTCCTGATGCCAAACAGCACTGCCTTTTTTTACTGGCTTCGTAGCCTGTTCATTATTTGGATCACATCGTGCTGCCACAGTTGTCCTCAATGAGAAAATTCAATGGACTTTAAGACGAAGAAACATAAGGCCACTTTTTCATGTTTTCATTATCAGTGGCTTGTTTCCAAATACTATGAGAGTGCTATTCAAACAATTCCTAAGGATGATGCAGCCTTGTAAATTGTTATAAAGACATTTCAATAACTTAATATAGTGAGGGCTCCCAGAACTTGTTCAAATATCACTCTCAGGCAGTGCCAGCCATTAACCATGGCACCATGAGTCCACACCCACTAACCTGCACGGACTAGTGTGGTGAAATATGGTGAAAAAACCCCTCGTCACCAATATGACATGGGGAGGCCTTCAAACAGCAGTGGATTGACAAATAAAAGGGTTATTTTTTTACTGAAGTTGGTAGGTCAAAGCAAACAAAAGCACATTAATTTATACTACAGCAAAGGACATACATTTAACATTCCTGTTAACGAAAAGTAAAAGCTTGTTTGGCAAGCTTAAAATTACCATCGCTATTTGATATTTTAAATAACTGACTGATTGGCCAGTACGAGTTTACCAATAAATACACAGAGCTACAGCTTGAAAACTGGGTGGTCTTCAGAAATGACTTCATGTAACCAAGTGCTTGCATAGCTCTCCCACTGTGTTTTCGAAACTGCACGGTAATTTATTTGCCATGATGTCCAATGTTTCGCTCTGCATGCTGGGGACATCATTCCGAACACCGCACAGTACAGCCCGAAAATTGAGAACTAAATGCAGGACACAAAAAAAACCCTCCAGTGTTCACTTGGCTTTACATTACCTCTCGTAGCTCTAGCCTCTGAGCAGCAGCTTCCAGGCACTCTTGACCCGTGCTCTCCACCGACAGCGTGCACTCAATCACACTGGTGTCCAGCAGCTTGATACGAATAACGAAGCAGTTCTTGTTTGAGACATTGTAGCGCCGCGTCCGCTTGAGCCTCAGACCAAAAGGCATCGCAGTGGGCCGGGCAGCCCCACGCACCCCCACTGGGCCACTGCTGTTACCAAGAGTTCACGTCTATTCACGCGTTGTCGTCACCGCCACCGCCGTTTGCTTCGCATCCGCTAATGGACAGCAGTCTGTAGAGATGGGTCTTGTGAGATCTGGAAATGAAAACATACATTGTTATTCAATTTGAAGGGCGAATCGCAAGTTAGAACAGAAAATTAGCCGTTGCAAGAGAGGTGATTGTGTTACCAAGCCTAATGCAAGACACTTGATCCGCAACTTGGCATTATGCATTTTTTATTTGGCATTGGTAAACATTATTATTAGAAGTGAAACTGTTTTTAAAATAAGCATCTCAATTGCCAATAAAAGGTGGCTTCTAAGCCAAAGGCAGCAAGACATTTATCAACAGATGCTTTCAGTTTAAAAAATAATCACTGAAATACTGTTTGGTCTGACAAAGATTCAAACCAATTAGTGCAACAAGTGCTGTATTTAACAGTTTGATTCTAATATTGTAAGAAAGAGGGGAAACATTTTTTGATTCCCCAGTGTCAGACCCACCAGAAGGCTACCACCATGCCAAGACTAAACAAGACCAAAGTTAACATTAAAGGGGTTTCCCTTGCCTCCTTTTACATCCTCATACTACAATATGCATTACAGCCTTAGACTACAGTACAAGTTCAATTTGCATAGTGTCTAAACACTGTAGAACTCTATGATGCTGAACAAGGTAACAGATGAGACCAACTGTGCAGCTCTCAATGAAAAGCCCAAGTGACAGATCAGTAGACTTCATGTTTGGACTTGCTGAAAATAGCAAAAACCTTTTTTAATTGTAAAATGTCCACTAAAAAAGAATCTAAAAAAGCTTTGCGTAAAAAAATAAAGTCTTACATTTCTGCCACTAACCAAGAATAAAAATAACACATTTGTACTAAAAAAATAACTACTGGTATTGCCATACACTTTTTAAGGCATGTGCAAGGTTCCTGCAAGTTAAATTCCCAAAACAGGAAATCGGCACAGGATACCAATGTTTACACAAAAGAGGAATTAATTAAAGCATGGCATTGTGTTCACGAGGGGTGCACAAATGACAGATTCCAATCCAGAAGAGTTCCTTCCGGACAATGCAGATTTTTGAGAGCGCAAACCACACGACCCACACTCGTAGTGCGTTTGTTGGGTTTAGTTTTGCTAACTTCCGTGCTAAAAGTTGGCAAATACCTTACGAAGGAATAAATTGCTGGTACTAAAGGCAGAAAATTTTAATATGGTCCATCAAATTGGCAGCAGTGGATTGACAAAGGGCTATAACTTATTCTTAATGTGTTGCTGACTTATGTTAGCAAGAATTGTGCTCGTTATACATGGACATACTGTATTGTTATTCTGACACTCAATATCTAGTGAGCTAAAAAATCTAAATGAATAGACAAGAAATAATGTTTAAGTGAATAAGATTTTCATAATGAGTGTTCAACATGAAAACAAATGTCAGCTTTCTTAATTAAGAATAGAGCTAACATGTTAGTAAACTGTCAATTTGATCGTGGTTATCATATATGAAACTGACTGTTAAGTCACTGTAGGAAAATGTTCAAGCACAAAAGCATAACTAATATAAATAACTGACTTTTCTGATTATTTGCCTTGGATTTAATTTTTCATATTTCTCACCAGACCAAAATCATGACCGCTAACGAATTAGGCAGGATATATTTTCAACAATATAAAAATATTAAGAGTTTATGAACAATCACCAGGAATGCACCCGATACTCTTTGGTTCTATTCGGTAAAGTCACGTAGGTAAAAAATAAAACACCAAAAATCACGACGTTTCGGCCACAACACAAGCGGCCGCTTGTTTCGGCCACAACACAAGCGGCCGCTTGTGTTGTGGCCGAAACGTCGTGATTTTTGTTGTTTTATTTTTTACCTACGTGACTTTACCGAATAGAACCAAAGAGTATGGATCCTTGCAGTCACGAAAGCTTCAAATCTAGAATGCACCCGATCCCATGAATCACAGAAGATAAGCAGGTTTGAGCCTGGATAGTGCTTATACAGACAGGTTATCTCATAGGGCTGTTGGACTATCATATGGCAGGAAATGACCATGATACAAAAATCAGTTATTGTACTGTATTTCTATGCTCCTATGTATCATGCTGCCCACATTCGCAAACCCGCACAGACCAGCCTAAAGTATTGCAAAATAACCCCTGTGACCTGTACGGCATTAGGATGTTCTCATCCAGCGTTGAATTCACCAACGGACTCTACAGTACATGTACACGAGTACTGTATTAAAAGGCGAGTGAAGCGAGTAGACTGCTTTTTTCTTGTCGAGGCTAATATTAGGAGAAAATTAGAGTTGACCATCGCCCAAACATACCATACACTTTTAGTCCACACTGTCCGGGCATTTTCGCAGTACGTTCATTCCTGAGCACAAGTTCTGCCACTCTGCCATTTGTTTTCATGACCAAAATGTAGATAGTAATCGGAGGTGGGGATGCTGCCCTGGCAGAGGTCCACAAGCAGAATAAACAAAAATACTTAACTAATTTGTCAATAACACTGCCTTGAAAGGAAAACAATATACAATAGCCGATGTTTCAAGCAATGGACATTTTTGATGTGATATTAAGACGGGCCATGCCCAAACATCGCCTATTATGTTTCCTTTTAAAGCAGTCTTTTCCCTTTAGGTCGCTTGGCTTTTTAAAACAAACATACGTATTATTTTGTGATGAACGCTGACGATTTACATGGCTGCGAATGTACGACTAAAATACCTCTATTAACTAGTTCATCTTTATAGACAGCACGCATCTTCTGTAATTTTTGTAACATCCACATCAGCTTCAAATATTGAGCATGCAGTGCTGGTACAATGCGTGGGGATACTCCTGGGTAAGACAGCAACAATAGAGTTTCTCGCCAAGACACACACTTCCAATAACACCACCTTGAGGTTACACAAACGCAGTGTCCATTTCCCCGTCCAACCCACGACACGATCACGACACATCATCGCTTTACACGACCCAAGTATGGCATCAAGAAACCGCAAAATTGAGCTCTATAGGTCTCTGCTGCACTCAAGGCTGCACATTAAGGCGACATAATATTCTTACTCCAAATTTTGTAGATTTACAAGGAGCTAAGACGACGTGTGCCACGTAGTTATACTTCAACCGGTTGTTTAGTCGACGTCGCCGTCACATAAAGGGCTTATTATAGGAGTATTTTTTTAATGCAAGTGCTGCTTTATGCATATTTTTATTAAGCAACAGAACACTGCTTAATCAAAATTCTGGCTCAGCCGTAGTAATTAGCAGAAGCAGTACAGTGTTACAAATTTAAGCGATACTGGTTTTAAACCAGCCTATGACACAATGCAATCGGTATGTCATTGGAGGTTGCACATGCCAAATAAATGCACGAAAAGACACTGCTTGTTTAAACACATAAATTCACATAAACCCGTTTTATTACGTGTACACATTTTCAGGACTTATATACAAAATTGTACTTAATGAGTTGGTGTCTTCTTAGAATATATCACGAACATTTGTATTGTTCTGCACTTGTCAGTTTAATGTACATACGAATCAAATTAGTGAAAACATAATTACATTACAGCCATGTTTACAACATACATTTTCCTAAATTTGGACGTAATAACGTCCACTATTCACGGCATGGGATACAAATTCTGCAGTAAGGATGACATCTCAGCATACACTACTGCAGCCAAAAAAAAATACCATACAATACTGTACAATTAAATCATAAAACTTCAATAAGTAAATAAAGCAAACTACACCAATAACTAATTCAGTACCGTAAAGTGAAGAGCGCGGCTCCTGATGATGTAGAGGAACAATTTTGACTAAGAGGGTGAAAACCTGCAGCAAAGATGCCACTGCATTTACTGTTATGTTTTTCTCATACTTAATCATAGACAGACTCGCTCCGTGTAACTAGTCTTGATTCTGCAATAGTGTGCACGGATCTGTTCTGTGCCTGCATGGGGAGTGTTGTATGAGGGTTAGGGTTGGGTGGTGCTGGAATGGTACATAGAAGAAAGCCATGTGGATGAATGGGCTTGTATTATACACTGAATTTAGATACAACACTACGTGTGAAACACTTGTAAAGCATTTCAATGTAGGTCAGTAGGTCCTTCATACTCCTGTAATGTTTTTTTTTACAAAGTAAACTACGTCATAATTGCATATACGTCAATGTGCATGTAGTGTGTGATACATACAGATTTTTGTATACAACAGAATACTTAAAATACATAAAGTCTACGAATTAATTGCAGTGTGGAAATATACCGTACTGTACTATAAATAATGTACAGCTGCATAATATACAGAGACGACGTGTATGGGTTAACTGGAAATGGAAAATAATTCCAATGACGTACTGTTCCAAATATCCAAAGCAATTCGCTGGCAGATATAATTATGTGGTAAAAATGACTGATGCATCATCCTGTTTATATAGAAGGGACTTAAACCTACTCCAAGTAGCTATGCATCAAAACATAACACCCTTTTTATACCGCATACATTCCATGTCAAAATAACCATTACAACTAGCACTTTGATTCACCTTGCGATAGTCTCTTGCGGCATTACACCCTGGCCACACAAGTTCTCATAGGTAGCTTATGCCACACTCATAGATGTATTTTTTTTTCATCAACAATTCCCCCTCTGTCAATCATTACAATAAAGAGACTTCATGCACCATGTCTTACATAGCCATACTACTCTGTTTTCAGAGAACATTGTTATTCATTGAGATTATTAAATTGTGCGTCCCCCGCACCTTCGATTAGCACGGTTGGCTACGTACGGTGCAAAAGAAGTTCAACATACACACAAAATGACAACACATTTTGTCGAACGCCAATATCCCGAGCAAGCACCTGATTGCTAATCCGACTAAAGAACCTCCAGGGTTAAATCTATTGTACCCTCGAAAACAATGGCCCACATTAAATCAAATAGGCACATGTCATGGCTGATCAAAGAAAGGCCGCCTTGCGATTGCAAGCACATTACTAAGGACCACACAGTAATATACCATTGTGTACTCCAAAAACATCAACGGAGGAATTGGAAAAAAATCCAACATGCACACATTACATCCATTTCCTAGCTAACTAATCTGAACATAGATGTATTTGTTGCAAGTTAAATATGGATAGATCGCGTAAATATATAAATGTGTCGTAAAAACCCACCACCACCCGACACAGCCAACTAGTAAGGGTTGTCACGTAAAACAGAACGTGCCAATTCGTCTGCTATAAATATCCACCTAAGCCACTTCATTGGGCTATCATTTGTGGCCAGATCGCTTCTGAAAAGAGGAATATAGCTTAGAGGGCCTTACCTGGTAAAATCTAAAATAAAAAGTTTAGTTTAGTTGAAAAAATCCCACAGTTAATACAGGCAATTCAATAGAGTACACTGATATATTCAAATAAACCCTGAATGTTATTTCCAAAACAGAAACTAAATCATTAAAACACATTGACGAATCTGCTACCGTCTTTAAAATCCATTGCACACCCAGGGTAAAATAATGTTCTGTTCCTCGGGTATAATACATATTCAGACATGTTAATCCCAAGAGCCTGATTTTGAAGGACAAAACTTAAGCTATAGTTTGGTCACATTATAGAACATTTGTCAGTGACTGTTTATAAGGATAGCAAGCATTGTACAACTCAGTTCTGAATACCGTTTGCTTTACTACATTACATGGCAACCATTATACTAACAATTTGACAGTTCATAACCCAAGGTTAATCGTATGAACAATCACCCTTTCAAAATGTATACAAATATGCGTAACACTTTTTTTGTTTGGGTTACGATACACTACTCGCATTAATAACATACCAGGCCATGTTCAAGTTCAGTAATACCTCGAATTACGTCTCACCCTTTAACGTCATCACTTTATTAACGCCGCTACTACCTGGTTTGCGTCACCTCACCACACACTTGACGTCACTAACAGCACCATCCCTCCTCTCTCGTATCCGTCGCTTCTCAGCCTTTGTTTAAACAATACGCTGTAAATTGCTTTTATTTACACCGTTTCGATATTTGTCTTCGCACTTTTCAGGAATGCGTCCCGTACGTAAATCGGGGTATTAGTGTACTTATCTTGACACTATTGGATGAGGGTCTCCCCACACCTGCGCACTGGGTCGTGCGTGTTTATAGCCATATACATCATCACAATGGTCAGTGCAGGTTGGTGATGGTGGGGTGCAAAGAAGTGGAAGCATTGAAACACAGTAGAATGTATTTTTTTATGTCATTACCTCTACTGCCCACCTCAAAGTTATATGCGGGTTGGATAGTGCTTGGATGTTCACCCATCCAAGCACTATCCAGGTTTAAGCCTACTTAGCTTCCAAGACCTGACGATAGCACGCGCATTCCGGGTGATTTGGTCATAGGCATGTAACCAGGTCACCGAGCACAACATTGTGCACCTTTAAAATATATATACTGCTCTTCCCTCATCGCTCACGCCTCCTCACATGTTATGTCTCTTGAGTGACTGTCCCTTCTGTCAGGGCTAAATAGTCTGACGGCACTGCGTAGCATATGAATATAAGTGAACTTAAAACATCCCCTATCAACAAGCACTCACAATTTACTACCGGCGTCACATTTGAATGGCAAAACCACTGCCTCTATCGTATCATGTTCAAACAATACGCAGAATAGTACTCCCAAACTACATTCTGGTTGACTGAGGTGCTCATCTGTAATCCAGCGGCTTGGGAGGGATTGGTGGATCATTCAAATGTGCATGATACCCACCTACAGATCCACCAGGTTACGTCTATACGAGGTAGTCCATCAAGTACATATCTATCTTGCCTTGTCTGTGCTCAATGATTATCCCCTCGTATGTAGCACTCTGACTCCTCTCACCATACTCTAAAAAGGAATGTATGGCAAACACTGCCAGCAAGACCTTCCGAAAAAATGTGTCTTGAGACTTGGTCAGTCTTTCCCGTGAAATGAGCAATGGTTACAGTCCAATACACAATGGCCCATAACATAATAAAGCCATAGTCAATCCACTGCTGGAGGAAGGACTCCAAAAACTTCTGCCATGTTCTGCGCTCCCCGTTATATAATAATCCATCCAGCAACTAACTGCACGTGAGCCGATTTCATCGCTCCATCTCCTCAGTCGATATCCTCTCGGATGCCTTCCATCTGTTTGCTGTCACTATGTCACTATTGTTGACCATCGGCCACTTCACCCGTGTGAATAATGTCGAGAACCTGTGTCGTTCTCTAATCCACGTGATTCTCATTCTGTCTCTAAATTTAATTAAAAACATGCATCTCTCAATGCTTCTTTGTGCACTTTTCATGGTTTAATGACAATAGAACACTTATTTTCGACCTACATTAATGACGTATGACAGGAACGTGGAACAATATTCCACTAAGCGCCACTTTGATATGCAGAATATACAATGGGAGAAGGAAATAGCCAAACATCCGAATGCAGGAATTTTGCCAAAAGTATCTAGACCTATTGAAGCTTTCTGAATAAAGGATTACAAAATCAATACTGTATGACCGTATGTTATTGTTATGTACTGTAAGAATGTGTGCACCAGCTATTGCCTTGGGGCAGTTTAAGAGGAATAAGCCCTAATACAGTATTTGAACACAGTTCAAGGGTACTGAGTATAACATGTACATACTATTGGAGAAAATATATGGTATGTACTATGTTGAACTTCTTTCGCACCGTACGTAGCCAAGCCGTGCTAATCGGAGGTGCGATAGTGTTAAACAAAACGCAGGGTGGTCGTCAATCAAAGCACTAATCAGAGAAGCAGGCTTGAGCCTGGATAGTTCTCGGATGGGCGTCCAACACACACACAACAGGTGCTATAGGCTGCCCCCCGCCTTCAAGAGCCCACACTGACCAGGAACACACATCCCCCCGCCGTGTGGTTCTAACATGCTGTTGGGTGAAGTGCTGTTAGCGAGGACCTTTGATGGTCGGTTCGACACAGCGAGGTGGGGGTGGGTGGCCAGCACCTCGCCCGTCCACCTTTGTCTCCCCAGTGGCGGTGTTTTACACACCGCACCAGGTGCTCATTTGAGGCCGAGTCAACCTATGGGAGGACCAGGACCGGTTCAGATAATCGTCCCTGGTGTTGGCCCGTGAGTGAGAATCGAACTTGGGTCGCTAGGTTCGTAGCGCTGCGTAGCAATAACCGCTACACTACCGTAAGGACCAGTATGGTGAAGTATGGTCAAACAACCTCCACGACCCGCACGGCGTGGGGGAGGCCCTGGTCAAGCAGTGAACACACTAAGAATAAGAAGGGTTCTACAAACGCACGTACATGCGCATCAATAAAAGGCAAAGCAGAATGACAAATCCCCTTTCCTTCAATCAACAAACATCAACACATGCAAAACCCGTACAGTGCGCTTACAGTGAGCGAGTGCCCCTCGCAACCAACAGAAGCGCCTTGACGAGACGCGGCAATACAGCGGAGTAACAAGCACGGGGGACAGGGGACGGGGTTCGTTTGGTGACATTATCTACCAAGAGTAGAATAGCGAGTGCCGCAGTCGGTGAGGTAATGGTGCCGATTCGAGATGAAGCTCAACACTCACCTGAGCCCGCGCCGGGCTCGCCCCGTCCATTCGCCTCGATCTGCCCTTCGCCGTTTCGCTATCGCCGTTGTCCAGCCGTGTCCTGCTTTAACAACAACTCCAACAACAACAGTGCCGCTCTGCCCCTGTATAAAGGGTAATCAGAGGAACCGCGACACAGCGCCGCCTCGAACCCACCCCGTGCGCCCCTCTCGTCACAGAATCATCATCAGACCGCACCGCGCCGCGCCGTCGCCTTCCATCGCGTGCAAGTAGTGCCCCGCGGAGGAGTGGGGAGGGGAGATTTTCTGCCTTTTCCTCGCGTACGGGCAGACACAAAGCAAGCGCGAGATGTCGGAACGAGAATTTAGCTGTTTTGTGCCGTTGTGTTAGGAATACAACGAAGGGTGTGTGGTGTGTGTGTGGGGGTGTTTAAAAGTAGGGGTGGTGATGCCGGTTGCCGGTATCGCTGCGCGGCATGGGTGATCCGCCGGTGACGTCAGTGGAGAGGAATGAGTGGTATGTGATTGCCCGGCTCTCATAGTCACAGACGACATCAACAATCAGCGACGACTCCACCAATCCGCGACTCCTTTACTCTCTTAGCTTTGTTTATATTATTTTAGATTTAGTTGAGTTTGTTACACGGATGACCCCGTTTTGCCAGTTTTTCCCTACGCTATTTTACAAGGAGAGAGATCTGTGCGTGCGCGCACACAAAAAACAAAGACACAAAAACACACCCCATCAATATTTCAGAGAAACTTGTACAAGGTATTTCACTATCGTAAACGAAACGTTAGAGAATGTACAGTGAGGGAAAAAAGTATTTGATCCCCTGCTGATTTTGTACGTTTGCCCACTGACAAAGAAATGATCAGTCTTTAATTTTAATGGTAGGTTTATTTGAACAGTGAGAGACAGAATAACAACAAAGTCCAGAAAAACGCATGTCAAAAATGTTATAAATTGATTTGCATTTTAATGAGGGAAATAAGAATTTGACCCCCTCTCAATCAGAAAGATTTCTGGCTCTCAGGTGTCTTTTATAAAGGTAATGAGCTGAGATTAGGAGCACACTCTTAAAGGGAGTGCTCCTAATCTCAGCTTGTTACCTGTATAAAAGACACCTGTCCACAGAAGCAATCAATCAGATTCCAAACTCTCCACCATGGCCAAGACCAAAGAGCTATCCAAGGATGTCAGGGACAAGATTATAGACCTACACAAGGCTGGAATGGGCTACACGACCATAGCCAAGCAGCTTGGTGAGAAGGTGACAACAGTTGGTGCGATTATTCGCAAATGGAAGAAACACAAAAGAACTGTCAATCTCCCTCGGCCTGGGGCTCCATGCAAAATCTCACCTCGTAGAGTTGCAATGATCATGAAAACGGTGAGGAATCAGCCCAGAACTACACGGGAGGATCTTGGCAATGATCTCAAGGCAGCTGGGACCATAGTCACCAAGAAAACAATTGGTAACACACTACACCATGAAGGACTGAAATCCTGCAGCGCCCGCAAGGTCCCCCTGCTCAAGAAAGCACATATAATGCCCGTCTGAAGTTTCCCAATGAACATCTGAATGATTCAGAGGACAACTGGGTGAAAGAGTTGTGGTCAGATGAGACCAAAATGGAGCTCTTTGGCATCAACTCAACTCGCCGTGTTTGGAGGAGGAGGAATGCTGCCTATGACCCCAAGAACACCATCCCCACCGTCAAACATGGAGTTGGAAACATTATGCTTTGGGGGTGTTTTTCTGCTAAGGGGACAGGACAACTTCACCGCATGAAAGGGACGATGGACGGGGCCATGTACCGTCAAATCTTGGGTGAGAACCTCCTTCCCTCAGCCAGGGCATTGAAAATGGGTCGTGGATGGGTATTCCAGCATGACAATGACCCAAAACACACGGCCAAGGCAACAAAGGAGTGGCTCAAGAAGAAGCACATTAAGGTCCTGGAGTGGCCTAGCCAGTCTCCAGACCTTAATCCCATAGAAAATCTGTGGAGGGAGCTGAAGGTTCGAGTTGCCAAACGTCAGCCTCGAAACCTTAATGACTTGGAGAAGATCTGCAAAGAGGAGTGGGACAAAATCCCTCCTGAGATGTGTGCAAACCTGGTGGCCAACTACAAGAAACGTCTGACCTCTGTAATTACCAACAAGGGTTTTGCCACCAAGTACTACGTTATGTTTTGCAGAGGGGTCAAATAGTATTTCCCTCGTAAAAATGCAAATCAATTTGTAACATTTTTGACATGCGTTTTTCTGGATTTTCTTGTAGTTATTCTGTCTCTCACTGTTCAAATAAACCTACCATCAAAATTATAGACTGATCATTTCTTTGTCAGTGGGTAAACGTACGAAATCAGCAGGGGATCAAATACTTTTTTCCTTCACTGTAGGCTTTCGCGACCAATATCATCCATCATCCATAAAATAGGTTTTTGGGTTAGATCGCGTAAATATATAAATGTGTTGTTAAAACCTGCCACCACCTGACACGGCCTACTAGTAATGGTTGTCACGTAAACAGAACGTGCCAATTCGTCACGAGTACAGCACACCGGTGTGTTGGAGAGCCAAGCCACAACATTTACAATCTGAGCACAACGTTTCGCCAGTAATTACAACTAGCTTCATTGATGAACCTCTCCAACACACCGGTGTGCTATACTCGTGACGAATTGGCACGTTCTGTTTACGTGACAACCCTTACTAGTTGGCTGTGTCTGGTGGTGGCGGGTTTTAACGACACATTTATATATTTACGCGATCTATCCATATTTAACTTGCAACAAATACATCTATGTTCAGATTAGTTAGCTAGGAAATGGATGTAATGTTGTGCGTGTTGGATTTTTTTTCAATTCCTCCGTTCATGTTTTTGGAGTACACAATGGTATATTACTGTGTGGTCCTTAGTAATGTGTTTGCAATCGCAAGGCGGCCTTTCTTTGATCAGCCATGACATGTGCCTATTTGATTTAATGTGGACCATTGTTTTCGAGGGTACAATAGATTTAATCCCGGAGGTTCTTTAGTCGGATTAGCAATCAGGTGCTTGCTCGGGATATTGGCGTTCGACAAAATGTGTTGTCATTTTGTGTGTATGTTGAACTTCTTTTGCACCGTACGTAGCCAACCGTGCTAATCGAAGGTGCGGGGGATGCACAATTTACCGCATAAAAGGGACGATGGACAGGGCTATGTACCGTCAAATCTTGGCTGAGAACCTCCTTCCCTCAGCCAGGGCATTGAAAATGGGTCGTGGATGGGTATTCCAGCATGACAATGACCCAAAACACACGGCCAAGGCAACAAAGGAGTGGCTCAAGAAGAAGCACATTAAGGTCCTGGAGTGGCCTGGCCAGTCTGCAGACCTTCATCCCATAGAAAATCTGTGGAGGGAGCTGAAGGTTCGAGTTGCCAAACGTCAGCCTCGAAACCTTAATGACTTGGAGAAGATCTGCAAAGAGGAGTCGGACAAAATCCCCCCTGAGATGTGTGCAAACCTGGTGGCCAACTACAAGAAACGTCTGACCTCTGTGATTGCCAACAAGGGTTTTGCCACCAAGTACTAAGTCATGTTTTGCAGAGGGGTCAAATATTTATTTCCCTCATTAAAATGCATATCAATTTATAACATTTTTGACATGCGTTTTTCTGGATTTTGTTGTTGTTATTTTGTATCTCACTGTTCAAATAAACCTACCATTAAAATTATAGACTGATCATTTCTTTGTCAGTGGGCAAACGTACAAAATCAGCAGGGGATCAAATACTTTTTTCCCTCACTGTAACGAAAAAAACTGCTCATATAACTCGAAGAGGAGGCGGCAGAGGAAGGCAGCAGAGGTTCAGAAAGTAAGCTCTGTGTTTAGGTCTCATTACGGCATGGGCCGCTGTGGATGAGTGCCAAGAGGTGGGAGAAACGTGGAGCAGCAGCGCGTAAAAACTGTGTTTTTATTGACATAACTTTCAACAAATGGAATATTTGTAGGAATAAGGAGGCACTTCTGAGGGTACGGGAGATGTTTCACAAACTCATTATCCGCTCCACCTATTTCGATTATCCTTGGATTGTTCTTGTCCATTGCAAACCAAGTTCCTCTTATATGCACTTTTTCACGTATAGGAGAGTTCATCTCCAAACTCATCATATTATTCGTGAGTAACGCATTTTTCCCTACGGATGAATGGAGTAAATTCTGCAGATAATAGAATCCTCGACATTGGGCCCCTACACTGAAATTAAAGGACTTTTTACTCTCGCACAATTACATGTTTTTTTTACATTCGGTGATTTTAAAGCTGTATTATTAAATTAAGGTTGTACTATGGATAGACTGGTCCACCGATGGGAATTTGTAACACCTCATTCTGCTTGAGTATACAACACTTTAACCGTTCCTGAGGTATAACAGTTAACTATGTTTTATTTGACATTTTACAATCTGTGAATGAAGCTCTGCATCATTTGATTCAAGCTCTAATTCATGGTAATGCATTTTAGATTATTCAACATACAATGTAATGTTCTGATTTCATTCAGTGTTTTAATATTTACATTTCCATAAGTGTGTGTTTTTTGGCCTCACGTTATTTTACGTATTTCCCCCTCCCTGGAGGTGTATTCTCACTAGGTATCCTCGCAACCAAATTATCATTTTTTTAAATCAAAGCACAAATAATTACAGTATTCATATTCTTGGTTCTTTCAGTAAAGTCACGTAGAAGGCAAACAATCAAATAATAAAAATATAAACAATAAAATTCTCACGACGTTTCGACTGCAACACAAGCAATCATCATCAGGTGTGAAAACACAAGAAAATTTGAAAAAAGTGGCGTTTTTTAACGTTAGCACCACGGACAGCGATTTGACAGTTTGTTCAAATGGACGAGTCAATCTATGTTCGGAAAAGAATAGGGGGGAGACGAAAAATAATGGATGTGGTCTGAAAGCGACCTTAAGCGTGATCAATACATTATTTTTCGTCTCCCCCCTACTCTTTTCCGAACATAGATGGACTCGTCCATCTGAATAACTGTCAAATCGCTATCCGTGGTGCTAACGCTAAAAAAAACACCACTTTTTTTCAAATTTTCTTGTTGTGTTTTCACACCTGATGATGATTGCTTGTGTTGCAGTCGAAACGTCGTGAGAATTTTATTGTTTTATATTTTTATTATTTTATTGTTTCCCTTCTACGTGACTTTACCGAAAGAACCAAGAATATGAATCCCTGCAGTCACGAAAGCTTTAAATCAAAATTACAGTATTAGCAAATGAGGATTTGATATCTATTTTTTATTACGAACCGTCATTTTTAACAAAGATGATGATTCCATGTAACAAGTTTGCTGTTTATTTTCACGTGTGTGCAGTCCCGTTTAAAACCACCGTGTGAATGTTTACCGCTACACTGTGTAGCTCTCTCAAGTGTATTTGGGTTGTTCCACGTTATTGCGCCCTTAAGAAGGTCCCAGCACGTGGAGCGAAACGTCAGACAAAATTCTGAACGCAACCCGGTACAACCTAAGAACACATTGGAGAGCTAGTCTAATTTAAAGGCCAAGTCTATTGAATAGAGGG